TGTAAGTGAATGGATTGAATTTTATGATTTTTATTCAGCTCCACTTGTTGACATGTTTATTTTTATTCTAGTATCAGCCTGTTTTGTTTGTTATATCCCTGTAGTACCTGGAAATTTAGTATTGTGTTGATTCCTGCTTTGTTTTCATTGCTTAAAATTGACCTGACTGCTCATGGTCTTTTGTTTTTTCATCTTAAACTTTAGGGTTGTTTTTTCTAATCCTGTGAAGAATATCCTTGATATTTTGACCAGGATCACATTGAACCTTTATGTCATACAATTTGATTTTATTAATTCGTCCAGTCCATGAGCATGATAGGTAGCTCCATTTTTATCCACCTCTCTTTTTCTATTTCTTTCACGTAATGTTTTACAATAATCATTGCAGAAATCTTGAACATACCTAGTTAATTTTGTGTCAAGGTATTCAAATTATTTTTCTAGCTTTTGTGAATTAGACTGATCTTACTTTTTTTTTTTTCCTAAGACAGCACTGTTAGTATTTAAGAATACTATTGCTGGAGGACTATACTATTGCAATGATATGGGGTGAAAACAGTGCAGAAGAGGCAGAAAGCTGAAAATGGAAGATGAAACCCATGAATCTATGGAACTATATCATGAAAATTTTTTTAATTTTAAAGAATACTGCTGATGTTGATTTTATATTTTTGCAACATTGTCAAATTCTCTTATGAGTTATGATATAATAATCTCTTAGTGAAGTCTTTTGGATCCCATAAGTAAAAGTTCGTGTCATCTGCAATCAGGGATAATTGGACTTCTTTTTTCCAGTTATAGCATTTTAATTTCTTTTTCTTGCCTAATGGCTTTAGTTAAAACTTCAAGGCCTATATAATTTTTTAAAGATTTATTTATTTTATTGCAAAGTCAGAAATATGGAGGAGTGACAGAGAGGAAGATATTCTGTCTGATGATTCACTCCCCAAGTGACCGCAACAGCCAGTGCTGTGCCAAACCAAAGCCAGGAGCCAGGAACTTCTTTCAAGGTCTCCTATGTGGGTGCAGGGTCCCAAAGCTTTGGGCCATCCTTGACTGCTTTTCCAGGCCACAAGCAGGGAGCTGGATGGGAAGTGGAGCTGCCAGGATTAGAACTAGTGCCCATATGGGATCCCGGTGTGTTCAAGGCGAGGACCTTAACCATTACGCTATCGTGCCAGGCCCTAGTCCTGTATTAAACAATGGTGGTAAGAATGTGCATCTTTCTCTGGCTTTGGATCTTAGCAGAAATGTTTCCTGCTTTCTCCCATTTTGGGCTGTGGTGTTGTCATATATTGCCCTCACTGGGCTGTTGAGATATACTACTTCAGTGCTCAATTTGCTTAAGGTTTTTATTATGAAATATTATTGTATTTTTGTCAAATGCTTTCTCTGCATCTATTGAGATAACACAAGATTTTTATTTAATTTGTCAGTGTAATGTATTATGTTTATCAGTTTGCATATGTTGAATTTTCCTGGTGTTTCCAGCATAAATATCACTTGGTTTGGATGGATGATATTTTCATGTATTATTAGATTCTGTTTGCAAGCTTTTTGTTGTGTATTTTTGTGGCTGTGTTCATTGAGTGTATTGATCTATAATTGGATTAGTTGTTTTTAAAGAGTTTATTACGATTTAACAGTAAAGACTTCCAATCCTGTGTTTTTCTTTGCTTGGAGTCTTTATTACCGCTTCAGTCTCAGTCTTGGTTATTTTTATATTCAGATTTTCTATGCTTTCATGCCTCAATTTTGGTACATTGTGTGTGTTCATATACCCGCTTCTAATTTGTTGGCATAAATAAAGATTGCTAGTAATTTTCTGTATTTCTGTGTTATCAGTTGTAACAACTCCTTTTAATCCCTGATTTTAATAATTTGGGTGGCATCCCTTTTTTAATTAATTGGAAAAATTTTTTAATTGTTTCATAAAATCCATCTCTTTGAATCTAGCACAGTGGCATATCATCTTGTTACACTGCCATCACCAGTATAGAGACAAGAGTGGCTGATGGCACTGGGTCTCTTTTCTTTCCTCACTGCTTTATGGAGGCTATCTCAACATTTTATTCTTAAAAGTTTTATCCATGTTGATGTACATAGGTCTTATTTGTTCATTTTAATTAGTGTTTAATTTTCTTCACTTTATAAATAGACTTCAGTTTCTTTCCATATAATAAACTAGGTAATTCTATTGTGTATTTAAACAATGCTTCAATAACTGTGTTTATGTATGCCTCTTGATATTTAAATCTGAGAGCAGAAACCCCTATAAATAACTAGAAATGAAAGTGCTAAGTTGTAGGTTGAATACATATTCAGTTTTATTATGTACAATAAAAGCTCTCCAATGTGACTATACAACTCTGTATTCCTTCCTGTGATGTATAATTTTTCCCACATTCTAGCCAACACTTGTTGTGATGTCATATTTAGTTAGGCTTTTTAAAGTCCCAGTATAATACAGGGAGCCATTCTCAATATATGTTATCCAAATTTTTAAGTTTCATCAGAGTTGAATTGACTTTCATTATCATGAAGGCTGAGAAAGTTCATGGTCTGTTATTTGCAAACTGAAGACCCAGAAAATCCAGTGAGAAAGTTCTAGTCCAAATTGATGGGCCTGAGACCTGAGGAGCACTAGTGTCGTTTCTGATCTGCATCCAAAACTTGAGAACCAGAATTGCCAGTGGTCTCAGTCTGAGAGAAAGAAAAGAATGCTCTATGCATCAAAGAACAGATTCTTTCCTTTGCTCTTTAGTTCGATTTAGTCCCTCAACAGAGTAGATGATGTCTAACTACATTTAGTTAAGAAAGTCAGCTTTACTTTTAGTTTACATTTTCAAGCTAAACTTACCCTGAAACATACACCAAGAAATTATGTTTAAACAAATATCTAGACAGTTCTATGGCCCAATTACTTTGACACATAAAATTAACCTTTGTAAGTCTAGCTTTTGTTAACTTGACATTTAAATACACCTCCATAGATCACATTTAATGCCCAGATAAATGTAATAACAACATCATAATTCTGCCTAACATGATACAGCTATTTTGCAAACAATCTAAACCTCTGTAACCTACCTCCCCAGATGAGGAGATAAAATCCTTCAGTGATATTTACTTTTCTCCTTTTTATATCTTGTACCTTAAATGCTATTGTAAAAATAAACTTATTTTTATACAACCTTATATAACCTTTTTATAATCTTAAATACTAGAATAAAAAGTCAGTAAAGCCTACATGATAAAGGAGTAAGAGAGTTGAGAAAAGAAGTTTGCTACATAAGCACCCCTACACACAAAACATATTCATAATAAACTAGGGAGGAAATATTACTAACAATTAAAGTCATCATTTCTATAACTGATCATATGATTATTGTTCATGTTTGAAACTACCTTCTCCCATGACCAATTCTCTGTTCCCCTTGATTTCAGCTAGCAGTTTTGTTTCTTATGTGCTTTACTCGATAGGGTATCACAATGAATTTTCTACCTTTCTCCCACCCAAAAAGTCCCCTGTTGAAATCCTAAGCACAAATGTGATAGTATTAGAGGGTGGGATGTCTAGGAGCTAATTATGTCATGAAGGCTTTTGTCATCTTCATCTGTCAGTTAGGAAGCAGGTCTTCAGCAGACGCCAAATGTGTCGTTGCCTTGATCTCACATACTCGGACATCCTGAACTATGATAAATCAGTTCTTGTAAAAACCTACCTGTCTGTAGTATTTTTGTGATAGCAGTTGAATGAACAAAGAAATGTGTGATTCAAACCTTCATATGTGAAGGTTTGGTGGCATGAGCAGTGAAAGAGAATTTTGATTGTTTGCTGTCTAGTTATATCATTTAGCAGTATTATGACCATATTATTGTATTTATTTGGAACATTAAATGTAATTTGAATATTATTTTAATATGTAATCAATATAAACAATAGTTAGATATTTCACGTATTTATAAAAGTCTGCAAACTATGCTCTGTCATTTACGGTTCTTTTCAAATTAGACTAGCCACATGTCAGGCAATCACATCAACTTGGACTCTAGCTGCATCTCATATAGCCACTTAAATGCATCCAAAATACTTAGACTCATTGACTCAGTCACTGGACAAGCTGCCTAACTCATGTGTCAAAGCAGAATCATGATATTACTTATAGTGGTTGGGAGGATTGAATCAGACATGTCAGATATGGATGCAGTCGTATTCCATGCATTAACTTTGGTTACAGTCAACATAACGAGCTGTTGATCATTACCCATTGCTCTCTAAATACTAGCATATGTTATTGTATGGAAATCTCAATAAGCAGGATCTTTGCATAGTAGCTGTTGGAAAAGGAATCGAAAGCGATTATGGCCATGTTGTATACCCTTTGCTGTTTTGTTGTAGTTGTTCTTCTTCTTCTTCTTTTTTTCCTATAACCTTGAAGGAGGAATAACAGATACTCTGTAAAGAGTATCTCTGAGCTTCTGTGGACTCAATCAGCGCTACTGATTGTCTTTGTCAAAAGCACTTCCTAATGGGCTATTCTGCTTGCAGCACTACTCCTCCCATCTAGCTTGGCTGACCGGACTCCTTTTGTTCTTTAGATCTCAAGCTACAAAATTTCCCTCATCTTCTTTGTTGAAATATCTTACCTGGTTTTTTTTCCTCCATCTCAGCCTCATGATTGCTTCATTGATGAACTTCTACTAAAATCTGTCGTTATTCTATTTTTCTGTAAGTCAGTTTTAACTTCTGTTTTGCCAGACTATTTGCATTATGAAAACAGGATGTGCATCTGCCTTGCTCACTAATGAAATCCTAGCAGCCAGTACAGGCCAGGCGCAAAATAAACACCAAGAGTTTCTGTAGTTAGTGAATGAATGAAGTTGAGATTGAATTGAAAATATAGTAATTACAGGTGATTTAAGACCAATATGCTAAAATAGCAATTAAACATAGATGCATTCTTGTTTTTTATCTTCCCTGCCTACCCCCACCCCAGGGACCTGTTGGCTTACCTGGAGAAATTGGCATAACTGGAAACATTGGTGAAAAGGTATATTCATTTTTTGTTTTATAATAAGGGTTCTGAACCTAATTCAAAGAAGAAACTTTCATATGGCAAGCTATGTTAATTAGAAGTTATTGATATCTCTTACATGTTACTTGACTGTGTTCTTAAGTATATTACAATATAGCTAATTCTATACATGATTCTAATTTTAAAGGGTCAAATACTATTGTTAAAAGATGTGGTATGCAAGGATGGATGTATGACTAGAAAAATATTATTTAAATCAAATTTATGTGGTCAAGCCACTTTCCTGTAGGAACGTTTTGAAAGAGAAAAATGTTGTAATTTTCCTTTTTTCTTGCCTATCTCCCACTCAAGTACCTATTCTATTCCCAGTTCTTAATGCTTCCTTAATTTAGAATATTCCAACCTCTTCCCTGTGTTCTTTAAAAACCAAACTGTTGGGCCCAGCTCAACAACCTAGTGGTTAAGTCTTTACCTTGCGTTTGCTGGAATCCCATATGGGCACCAGTTCCTGTCCCGGTTTCACTGTTATTTATTTATTTATTTATTTATTTATTATCTATTTAGTATTATCACTTTATTGTACAGTTCCATAGGCCCTGGAATTTTCCCTACCTACTCCCCAAATCCCGTCCCCCAAGTTCTCCAAAATCATTACATCAGTATCTAGCTCCACTTTCCATCTCGTTCCCTGCTTGTGGCCTGGGGAAGCACCAGAGGATGGTTCTGGAGACCTAGAAGAACCTCCTGCTTCGAATCAGCTCAGCTCTGGCTGTTGCAACCACTTGGAGAGTGAACAATAGATCTTTCTCACTGTGTCGCCTTCCCTCTGTGGGTTTACCTTTAAAAAAAAAAGATGATGCACCTGAACTTCAGCTCTGTGAATTGCCCCAGATTCTCTTCTTGGTTTTGGGCAAAGATCATATAGTTTAAAATATAGGTATTCCCAAGGTATTCATCTCCTTTTTAAAATATTAGTAACTCACACTTGTCAAGAGCCAAACATTCACCAAACGAGGCGATTTACTTGCATTATCTTGTAACCATTCCCACTTAAAGAACTTTAACGAATGATACCGGCTAAGTTTTAGTCCTTCTAATTTATGATTTTTAGCTTTATCGTTTTAATAAGTGTTAGCAGTTTTCCTTTAGAAGTTATCTAAGGAGTATTTCTAAGTTGTTGAAAGCTTGGCAATTTCATGGTAAAGTATAAATTTATACATCGATATAATTGAAATTAGGATAAGATACTGTATCATTTGTGAACTAACTTACCACTTATGGCGTGGCTTAACATCACTCTTCATTCTGTTGTGTTTTGAAGGGAGATCGTGGCAGTCCAGGGCCCGTGGGTCCCCAGGGAGAAAAGGGTGCCACGGTAAGAGCTCAGTAATTTGAAAAAATAATACTTTCCAAAAAAACAGAGTAAAGTTATCTTTCCAAAGATGGAATTGCCTGTACTAGAATTTAACTGAACAGAAAATGTAATTTTGTAATAAAATTTCACTGAAGTTTGCTTCTAAACTGATTTTTCTTCTAGAATGCTGTCTAGCACAAAAATTTTAAAAGCATATAAATAAGATGGCTTATTCAAAGTAGGCTGTAGTTTTAGGAGAAAAATTATGCCACCCCACATTAGCAAGAAATAGATGAAGAAATGCTACCTTTTCTTCTACAGCTCATCATTTATTTATGTAGCATTTGTCTTCATTTCTCTTCCACTTTGCTGCCCTGTTGTAAGTTTTTGATATATAGAAGCTCAGAACACAAATTGATCTCTCTGTGGTGTGTTGAATTCGCTGACAAATTTGTATCTGGCATTCCCCCTTTTTCTAACTGTATTAAATAATTCCTTTAAAAAAAGTAACTAGAATTAACATTATCTACTAAAGAAACTTCCTTTCAGAAAATAATATAATGGATTTCATTATATTATATAAAAATGTATTTTATTTGTTACTCTTAATTTTAACATGATGGAAGAGCCTTGCAAGATTTATTTACACCTTGATTTTTAGTTATCTCCAGCTCTGTGAACTAAGAAATTTAGCATGTTTGTAAGACTAATAAATTTCAGCAACTCTTATTTTTCCCAAGGCATGTTCTGAATCAATGTTAAAAGGCGTAAACTGTGCTGTCCATCTAAAATGTAAGAGGCTTGAGCGCTTATAAGCATTTGTATTTCCTAAGCACAGAATTTCCTAATCACTCTGAAATGGATCTTGTTTCAAAACCTACTACATAAGAAAACACACTACAGAAAGATGAGATGAATGTTCTCTTCTTTTACATAGGCTATAACATGCAATGCTGGCTAGCACTTTCCTTTTCCCAGCAAAACCCTTCTAATAAATGAATATATAGCCTGCTCACAAACAAGCTATGTTCTATCCATTTCTTGGGCCTCTCTGTAAGAGAGGAACACATATCAAATTATCCCTTTTATAACTTTTTACAATTTACTGTTTTTTTTAGTGAAAGTATAGAGATGTGATGGAGCTTTTATTTCCTTCAAACTTTTCTTAAATTGTAGGGATATCCAGGTCCTCCTGGGATTCCAGGACCCGTGGGTCCTTTGGGATTACCTGTAAGTACAGAAACTATTTTAAGGTACATTATGTAAAGTTTATTTTCATTTAAGTCCATTCCCTTTTGTTATGCTTTCTTAATTTTATCAAAGTAAGTCATGTATAAGCTAATGGAAAATGCTTCTCCCAGTGTTCTTGGATACACCATAATAGCTTGAGTTTGCCCATCTATGCTCGTGGACTACATGTTTTCTTCTTTCATCTGTGTGTATTCCTCTTGAACACTATGTGAAAAGTGAATATTAAACTCTTACCCTGTTTGGTTCAGACCGTAAACATTTCCAAAGAGGAGAATATTTCAAAATCAGAATATTAGTGGAGAGAGCTCTGACATTTAAAAACTAAAGAACATTTTTAAGGGAATGAATCAATTTCTTTTTAAAACTCTGCAGGAAAAATGAGAATGTAATAAGAAACTCTATGATTGCTATTTTGATAACATTCTTGAGAATCCTATCATTGCTTTTAAATTTCTAATTTTTGTAGGGTCCTGTGGGGTCAAGAGGACCACCTGGTAGTCAAGGTCCTAAAGGGCAAAGGGTAAGTCATTGAATGAGAAATAGAACCTGTGAGTAGCGATGTGTTCAAGGAGCATCCATAACTTCTAAAATTAGCTTTAGGAATTGTCAGACTTTTTTTGGTTTGCATTATATTAGGTTATCTACAATAAATAAAACATGACTAATAATTATTTTTACTAATGAAAACATACTTTTCTATTTTAATTATTACATAGATCACTAACCCCCACAGTATTATTTTTAAACATTTAAAAAATGTATCTCTACTTACTTGAAAGGCAGAAAAATGGAGGCATGAGCAATCAAGATCATCTGCTCTGCTGCCTCATTCCCCAGACGCCCTCCACATTCAGGGCTGAGTTGGACTGAAGCTGGGAGTCAGGAGCTCAATTCATCTCTCTCTCATGGGCTGCCAGGATCCAACTATTGGAGCCATGTGTCCCAGGGTGCACACTAGCCAAAAACTGGGAAGAAGCAGAGCTAGCATTCGTGCTCAGGCACTCTGATATAAAGAAGACAAGTGCTCCAAACAGCATCACACACCTAATCCAGTGTCTTCTTTCTTAATCACAATTCCTGTTAACCTTCAGAGAAGTATAAATCTGTATACCTTTAAATAAATTACTTCCAGAGCACACATACATAAGAAACAAATGTAACGCATGACCAACAACTCCAAGAAATGGAGTAAAAATAAAAAGGTGAAAAATAGTTTATTAATTATAAATCAGAATTGTTATTCTCTACTAATTATGCATATAGTATTAAGTGGAAAAAATAATCCCTACATTGCCTCTTAAATATTTTAAATCCTTTAAAAAGACAAGAACTGCTACTTATTGCATGCTTTTTCACATTCTAAGCGATACGAGCATAACATTCTGGGAACAGGGTATTTTATTTCATGAAGAAACCAGGACTCAGAGAGTTTAAGTACCTGCTTGTTCTATAGACAGAGAGAGAAATGGCCGAATCAGTACTGAAACCTTTGTTGTATGTCTACCCTAATAAGCCCGTGCTTTTTTTAATACCACAAGGAATATTAGGGAATTTTAAAAATTAATGTGAACATGTGGGTTTTAAGGATTCTTTCTGTTGGCTTTACCTTGATTTAAATTTTAGTTCTAAAAGAAAAAATAATTTTAAAATATTTGAATCTGTCCTCTGATAGAAGATTAAAAAAAAAAAAAACTACTCTCTGCCAGTTCTCAAATGGGAGAAAGATGTTAGGAATTCACAATTTGAAAATGATTTTAACTTCATGTCCTATTTTTTTGGAGAAGATTGAAGAAAGAGAGAAAGTTTGTCTGTACTAATATTTCTCTTCTGAATAATGACTTTCCTTTCTGGATTACAGATTCGCATCCTAAAAATAACCTTGTAGGCATAAATGTAATTTAGGCCTTGGTAGCCTAAATGAGATTTAAAATAAAATAAAAACGGTAGATGATCTGTGTATAACTGTTATTGAGTGGTTTGCTTGTGCTAGGCTTCAATGTTGGTCAGGTTGAATCAGGTTGAATCACACTAGGAAAGTTCTACTAATTTTATGACAAGTGAATAAAGAAATCTTTATTTGTGCCTTTCTAATTATGTAATTTAGGTCTCGTTGACTATCTAGGCAGAATCTGACAGTACATGCTGAACCACTTGCAATCTCATAAGCGAGGGGAAGTTCACTTATTTTGCAGTCGCCTACCCTCACCCTGACCCCTGTGTAGGTTAGTACTCTGCTGATTTGTCGCCGACTCCCAGCTCCAAGATGATCTGTTTTCCTCTCATTCTCCAAATCTATTACAGATTCCCTCCCAAAAGGACTTCTCATATTTTTTAAACTTTCCGCATGATAGTTTCTAAATAAAGAAGTTCTCTAAGTAAGGCTTTGCTTTTTAAAAATAAGGTGGTTAAGGGAGTTTCTTAACAGAAGAATAGTTTAGACAACCAATAAACATTGACTATACCAAAAAAAAAAAAAAAGAGGGAGAACTGCTATACAGAAGTAAAATTTGGTTACTTCTTACTTTGGGGAATGAACAGCAAATTGCAGTTAGTCTCTCTCTCTCTCTCTCTCTCTCTCTCTCTCTCTCTCATCCCTCCCATCTCTACTTCTCAAATAAGTAATTTTTCTTTAACTAGAAAATATTTTCTGGCTTCAATCCTGTTATGTTAGACCTCTCATTCACAATGATTCTTGCTCCCAAAAAAGAGAACATTTGCCTCCTTGAGATAAATGGAAAAGCTATGCATCTGTGGATTTCTGTACCCAGATTTCCCCAGACACCCCAAAGGCTGAGTCAGTCCATATTTGCAACACATCTGAATTCTGTTTGCACACGTTTGTGTCTCAGTATGCTGGAGCAGAAGCTCTGCCATAAGCACATTTTCACTGTGACCAGAACCTTTCCTCGTAGGACTAATCCTCTTACACCATCATGGATGGTAGGGTCATTCTCAAGGAATCTTCCTGTTTCAACCCAACATACTTTCCCTCTGCCATCCATATATAATTTCCTGATTTCCTGCAATTTGTCAGCTATTCTACCAGAACCACAGAGGATTTAAGATTAATGCTCCTTTGGTTCTAGACCACATGGAGTTTAGTTTCATGATTTACAGTCTAGTGGCTTTTTGAAGCACCATGCTCTACTGACACTTTCCATCACATTCAAAAACTTCAAGTAATATTGTTCTGCCATCCAAAAGAATAGCATAAATGCTTTAGTACCATGAAAGACTTTTTCATTTTGTGAAGATTATGTGATCCTGCCTTTTATATAGCTAAGAAAAGGACATGATTGGTAAGTCATAGCATGCTTAGAGATTCTTCATTGCCAGCCAGAGCACCAGTGTAAAGTGTTATTTGTCATATAAATTCAAAATTTTGTTTCCACCAGCTGTGTTCATCTGAAAAATAATTAAGTAGTTAAATATACCAAATCTAATTAAGATAATGCACAAAATTGTGGCTCTTTTTTTAGGCAATACAAGCTAGCAGACTCTGTACTCCAGTATCAGAAGGACAATATTTTATCTGTTCTGAAATTAGGAATCAGCCCACCATCAGAGGTTGCTCTTCCCACTCCCATCTAACTCTTCATGGCAGGGCAGCTGCTGTTAGATCTCTCCAATGTATACTGTTGTGTTTAGCTGCCTCCTAAACAGGAGGGATGACACATGGAACAAAGCTTAACTCATCTTATCCGTTGCCCATCAGTTGGGCCTTTGATCATAAGATACCTTAAAGTGTCACTCTTTCTTCAGAAGGGTGATACCAAGACTTATTTGAGGGAATTTTTGTTCTGACAATGCTCCTTAAGATTTGAATGGTATAGAGGCAGAAAAAGTAACTGCCAGCAAGAAATGTGTAATGTTTTTAGGTTTTCTATGGCAGAAGAATATGGAAATGACTATAGGAATTCTGAATGTTGGCTCCTTCAGGGAAATGCAAAGTATAGCAGAGAAAATGACCACCTGCAACACACTGCTTGTAAACCTAGAGCTTACTAAATGACAAGGCAAAGCTGCCTCTACAATTTCTTCTCCAAAAATAAAATTTATCTCAAGAAAGGAATCAAAAATTTCCCCTGAAATCACTGATAATGTGAATTTTTGTTTAAGGGAACATTTTGCTCCAGTTGTGTAAATCAAGAGCCAGAAAATATGGTTTGATATAATTAGTTAGACATGTGAATTGTTTAAAATAAGTAAAAGGAATCAAATAGACAAACATGGTTAAAAGGCAACATAAATATACAGAGTTTAACTTACAGAAACATTTATTCTGTGAATAAGGGTTGTTGCCATCTTTCATAGATACTTATCCCATTATTTGTTATTCTATAGGTCATAAAAATGGGGCTGGAGTTCTCATAAAAATCTTCCTAAATAAACGAGCATGCAGTTTGTGTCAGTGTTTTGCTTAATCTCAGGGTTTGGCTTTTTTGATTTCAGCATTTATATGAAGTGGCAGTATTACTTCCTTTCCGCTAATGCATGTGGAATTGAAAAGCTCATTCATGAATTTCATTGGCTCAGATTGTTGCCTACAGCTCAAGTAACTGTTACTTTAGGTAGCATGCTTACTTTTTAATCCCTGAACTATCAGGATTTTGCTGTTTCTTTAATAATGCACTAATAGCTCATTGTGGTATAGTTTAGCTTTGCTAGAGAAAAACTCATCTTATTCTATTTAGCCAGCATGCTTTAAGAAAATAACATTAGATATACATAGGCTATCTTAAGGCAGTTACTTAAATAAATAAATAAACAAACCTACTTTACAGTAAATTAGGTGCCTGTCACAATGCTATTTGGTTCGTTTTCTTTTTTTTTTTTTTAAGATTTATTTTTTTTTTTTTATTGGAAAGGCGGATATACAGTGAGGAGAGACAGAGAGGAAGATCTTCCGTCCGATGATTCACTCCCCAAGTGAGCACAACGGGCCGATACTATGCCGATCCGAAGCCAGGAGCCTCTTCCGGGTCTCCCACGCGGGTGCAGGGTCCCAAAGCTTTGGGCTGTCCTCGACTGCTTTCCCGGGCCACAGGCAGGGAGCTGGAAGGGAAGCGGGGCTGCTGGGATAGAACTGGCGCCCATATGGGATCCCGGGCGTGCAAGGCGAGGACCTTAACCACTGCGCCACTGCGCTGGGCCCCCTGGTTCGTTTTCTTAAAGCCATATCCTAAAATGTATTTTGTCTTCTGTGAGAATTATCAGAATGAAACTCAGGGATGCTTGGAGGTGGGCATTGAGGTGCAGCAGGTAGGGCTCTACTTGGGACACACACATCCCATAGCAGATGAGCAGCTCAAGTCCCTGCTCTTCCACTTTGTATACAGCTTCCTGCTAATACGCCTGGGAAGAGAGCAGATGACCCACTTAGTTCTTAACACCCACGTAGGGAATTCGGATAAAGTTTCCAACTTGTAGCTTTGGCCTGAACTATCCCTGACTGTTGTAGGCACTTAAGGGACTGAACCACCAGATGAGAGAGATTTTTCTGTCTCTCTTTCTATACTGGGACATGGGCATCCTAATCACCATATTAACCATGTGGACAAAGACCCATCCATTTATAGTATTTTAGAATGTCAACAACTCACTCATGTTTTGACTCTCTCAGCCCTCTAATTACTCAAAAACAAAAAATTAACATTATTTAAGGGCTATTTTCACTTAAAACTTTAGAGTCATTGTTTAATTATTTCTCTTTTTTATCTTCTGTTATTTAGTTAGTAACTATTCCAAGCACATGCCACTTCCAGAGCTCTATACTTGCTGTTTATTCTGTGACAGTGATCTTGCCCATGTTCTCTGCAGTCCTGCCTCCTTCAAATATCTCTGCACATGTTTCTTTAAAGAGACTTCCCAGATTACTATACAACAATATTCTCCACCTAAAATACTCTAGTCCTTTCATGGTCTTTTCTTTTTCTTCATCATGCTTATCTATTTTTATTTTGGTTTTATTCTTAAATTTTTTAAAATTTGTTTTTATTCTGAATTTTATGGTACAATTTCATAGGCTTTGGGATTTCGCTAATCTCTCCCCAAACTCCCAGCCCCTGACTGATTTTCCCAATATTGTTACAATAGAATAGTTCTTCCTAAGGAGTTATAAATCCATCAGTCTGTTATTTAAGTGTTCTCTGACATTGCTGACACAAACAATACCAGACAGCCCAACATCCTATTGTCAAGATATATCCAACGGTTTCAATGGTTGTACATCTTTGATTTGGAAGTAGAGATGTATACTGCATTGTACCTTCACATCTGGATATGATAGTCTATTATACATTCCCTTAAATAAGAAGCTATGAAATAAAGTCAACAACAATGATGTTAAAAGAAAAAATTTACAACACCATGGAGTTAAATAACATGTTACTGAACAACCAATGTGTCGATGAACAAATGAAAATGAAAACAAAAAAGCTTCTTGGGTAAAGTGATGTTATTGTGTGATCTATGGAGTCAGTCAAGAATTTAACAAGAGAAAAGAAACTAATTGGAAGAAATGAAAATAGGAACAAAAATTTCAAAAGCTATGGATTGCAGCAAAAATAGTATTAAAAGGGCTGTTGATCCTATAATTTGAATGAACTTTGCCTGATATCAGAGAGAATATATGGTAGTTATCCTTCTGGGATTGACTTATTTCACTGAGCATAATGGTCTCCAGTTGGGACCATCTAGTAGCAAATCATATAATTTCATTCTTTTTAGTGGCTTAGTAGTATTCCATTCTATGGAGTAGATGTACCATAGTTTCTTTAACCACTCCTCTTTGGATGGGCATCTAGGTTGTTTCCTTATTTTTTTTTTTTCTGTTGTAGATTGTGCTGCTCTAAATATAGGGTTACAGATCTCCTTCTCATATGCAGTTTTCATTTCCTTTGGTCATGTTCCTAGGAGGATACCTGGGTCATATGGCAGGTTATTTGGAATTTTCCAAGCACTCTCCATACTGATTTCCATAGTGGTTGTACTAGCCTAACCTCACACCAGCACTGAAGGAGGGTACCTGTCTCCCCACATCCATGCCAGCAGGTGTTGTTAGTAAAGTTCTGAATGTAGGCCAACCTCACTTGAATAAGGTAGAACCTCAATGTGATTTTCAGTTACATCTCCCTCAGAGCTAGGGAGTCATCTTTTCATATGTCTGTTAGTCATTTGAATCTATGTTTTTGAAAAATGTCTGGTTCTTGGATGAGCTCACACATCAATAACCAACTAATTTGTGTCAAGAAAACTGAAAACCATCCAGGGAAAAAGCCTGATCTCTTCAGCAAATGCTGTTGGGATAACTGAAAGCAGCCTGCAGAGGAATGAAGTAAGACCCACACCTGTCACATTATACAAAAATGAGCTCTAAATGGATCAAGGACTTAGATCTGCATCCAGAAACCAAACTATTAAAGGAAGACATAGGAAGCACTCTCCAGCATATAGGAATGGTGAAAGACTTCTTGGAAAAGACAACAAGAACACAGACAGTCAAAGCCAAATAAACAAATGGGACCACATCAAGCTAAAAAGCTTCTGTACAGCAAAGGAGACGATCAACAAAGTGAAGAAGCAACCAACAGAATGGGAAAAAGATTTGTACACTACACAACTGCTAGGGATTTACAAAGAACTTCAGAAACCCAGGAACAGTTAAAAAGAAATCTATGACAAAATGTGTGAAGGAAATGAACAAATGTTTTTCAGAAGAAATTATTCTTTAATTTTATGTAACAATTTGCTTGTTTAAGAATGCAGAGCTTTTCTCCATAACAGGTTCTCTGGGCTTAAGATAACCTATGTTTTATAATAGGCACTCAGTAAATGACTGTTAATTGAATAACCCATTATGAAAATTACTGACCTATTAAATGAGTCCATTCTCCCTTTAATTTGACCTGCATGATCTTGCACGTTAGGATTATGATTTTTTTTCTTAGTCTTGTCCTGGAAAATATGACAGCAAAGCAATTTAGGAGGCAAATTATGCAGTGCATTGAATGCAGATTTAAAAGGCTAAAGTCAGAGCTATGGCTTCAATTCATGGAACCTGTGGAACTTTAGTTCTTCTAAGAGTGTCCCCTCCAAATCTGTGAGTATACCCAAGAGGATCAAAGAATGAAGCTGCCTTAAAAGTATACAAGCTGAGAGTGTTATCAAAGTAAGCATCTTGTAAGAATACAAAGCTGAAAAAGCTTCTTAGTTCAAATGCAGTGTAAAGGTGGAATAGTGGAGCCCAGTAGCTTACTTCACATCAGTGTATTGTGCTGTGAGATTTGTAATGACTGCTGCAGAAATTATTAATGTTTCCCTGTTGCCTCCTGATTTAAGTACAAACTCCCGTCTGTGCCTTTTAAGTTGCACTTACACCTTCATATTTTGCTACATACAATCAGTAGCAAATTGCTTTTATTGAAATGCCTTTAATTTTCTGTACATTCTTCCTGTGCTGTCTCCCTGTCTAAAGTCCGATCTTTGGTAAACAAGCCCCTGAGAGTTTGAACACCACCTACGTCAGTATCTTCATTTTTTGTTTTTTATCTTTTTATATGACTATAATATGTATGTAAGTCATATTTTCATTCTAAAAGACTCACAATGAATATTTCTTTTCACGATTTTCTATCCTCATAACACATTAAATGTAAGTGTGCAATTCATTTAGAAGCTGTAGAATTAATTAATTAAGCTCCTTAAAATGAAGCTTAATTTTGAAGAAACTTATTTAGGCAGTATAGCTTTTCTGCTGTATTTTTTAAAGAAAAACTTTTGTAGCAAATTATTGAATGAGTATAGAACAGTTTCAGCTATACATGGATATATCTAGCCCCTCCTGCCCCTGTCCTCTCCTTGCATGCAGTGCCAAGCAAGTAGGTACGACGCATTAAACACTTGTTTTCTTATAATGCAAGCAAAAGAGCAACATTTTAAAAATGTGAACCTTTAAAAGACTGCTAAGACATATCAGACACTTTTAGAGTTGTTCTGAGAACAAATCCCCATGAACACATTACTTCAAGAACAAATTTGTATTACCATCTCAATAGCTTCCTGAGGTAAGTTTTTTGTCATCTAACTAAACAAAGAGTTTGTTGACTAAAGAAGGATAAGGTACAATCTGAGAATTTTTAAAAATGGAAGAAAGGAACATTTGAAATTAACAAGATTGTTTCCACCCGTAGGGTCCAAGAGGCCCGGATGGCCTTCCAGGGGAGCAAGGTGTACAAGGTGCCAAGGTAATCATTGGTTTCCCCGTTTCAAAAGGGTTGGGTTTTATTGAACATGTATGACTTCCCTATTCAGAGAATGAAATATCTACTTACCAAATTATGGTACTAAATTTTTTCTTTGTCTAAGTGTGAAACTTTCACAACACATACATAATTTCTTTCCAATTTGGAGCTCTAGAGTTGTTTCATTATTGTGAGTGTATGCTAACCTGAGTAATGTGTGAAACCATAATTCAGATTCTTATTTATTCATTGGTCCTGATACTTTGTTAGGGTGAAAAGGGAGATCAAGGAAAAAGAGGTCCTCCTGGTCTTACTGTAAGTAATTTAAAAAATTAAAATTTTTATATTTCACATTAAAATCTTCCCCGCTTCCCTCTGCTGTTTGGGAGGAGCTGCTTGATGTAAGTGTTGCTTTCTTGTTTAGGGTAAGACTGGAAATATTGGAGAGAGAGGAATTCAAGGAAAATCAGTAAGTATAAAAATACAGTGCATAAAAATTGTGCCTTCTTTGGGATAGGGTTGCTTACACAATGCTTTGGGATATTTTTGGCAAACAAAAATTATATACACTTGCATGTTGTTTTATACTATATGTTTTGAAATTATTATCTTCTTCATTCTCTAACACATTGTTTAGTATTTAATGTGTTAGGATGAGAAAGCATCATTTCTTTTATTTCTTCAAGTATTGTTTTAGTTGAGCAAATTATTTACCTATTTGGGGCCTTTTTTGTGCCCATTTAGAAACTGTTACATTGGATATATAATGGTGGGTTTAATCATTACTTGATGATACTTATGAGAATTTTATTTTTCTGTAAAGTCCATTTCCAAAACATAATTCAATATATAAATATAATGTAACATTATTAAAACTATTACACCAGGAAATAGTGTTCTTTAGATCTTCCATGGGATAACAAATTTTCTCATGGTACTAATCTTAAGCGTGCTTAGTATTTTATAATAGCAGTTTATCAAAATTACAGTTTTTTCCTTAACAAGCAACAAGTTCTGTTGGCTATAAGCTTATTAAGTAAGTGGTAAAATATTAATAAAAGTAAAGGTACATATATGTATATATTCCTATTTACATTCTTGCATAAATGGGAGCACATAATCTTAGATGTGTGGGAATCTTTAATTGCATTAGGAATCATAGTTATGAACGGCATTTTAATTTATCACATACTTGCAGATTAAGGTTATTTAATATAAATAAGTCACAGGTGAATGAGATTAAAATATTTTAGCTATTACAGTGATTCTCAGTGATATGACTGCATTTGCTTGTCCTCTGAAATCTGCTGCCCCCTGCCTGTTGTTTATCAGAATGTCAAACTGATCAAACCTAAGAAAAAGATGACTATGATCAGGGAAAGAGTTTGTTTGTGGTATTGCATTATTGATTAAAATGATATTCAAAGACAGTTCCTTAATCATTAATATCCATCATCTGAAATTCTTTTATATCACTGAAAATGCTGCTTGGATGGATTTTAATTACTTTGTATACTATATGCAAAGTTAACATGATTCAATGAGTGGAGAAATTCAAGATCCGTATTCTCATTATTAAAAACGTGAAACCAAGGGAAATAATTTGTTCATTTTGCACATGCTGACCTTTAGCACTTATTTACATTTTCTTCCCGTTAGGTGTATGTGAAAAAAAATTAAATACTTTGGAACAGATTTACCAAGGATATAAAAATCCGCAATAAGAATTATTAAATAGTAACAAAACAAACAGATGATGACACATACATAAAAGGAAAAATCATCCATTTTTATGAATTGGAAGGCTTAATATCAGCAAAATGTCCTATCTACCCAAAGTAATTTATAGATTCTTTGTCATCAAAATACTAATTTTTTGTCAGATTCAGAAAAAAAATGCTAAAGTTTATGTAGAAGCACTAGACATGCAGAATGGCTAGAGCCATGAAGCAACAAAGCAAAGGTAAAGACATCACAATATCAGCTGTTTAGACACACTGCAGCCTGCTGTTGGCACCAAAATCGATATATGGACCAACGGAGCAAAAGAGAAATCCCAGAAATTAATCCATGCAGCTACAACAAACTAATCTTTGCCAAATGAGCTAAAATCAGCTTCTGGATAAAGGGAACATTCGCTTCAACAATTAATTTTCCAATTGAGAAAATTTTATCTTTCAGTGAAGAAGTTTGAAGCAAGATTCTTATCTTACAGCCTAAAAAACAAAAAAATCTTCAACTAACAATGAATTGATTATCCAAATATATGACTTGATTTAATAATTTAGTAGAAGAAAACATCGCGGAAACTCAGTTACCTGTATACTCCTGTTCAGAGCAGGGCAAAATGTAATACAGGTACTATAGTCCTCATTCAATATATTTCGGACTAGGAGTTTTTAGATTTTCAGGTTTTTAAAATATTTTGAATATATTTAAATTTGAATAAATATTGTAAGATATCTTTCTGAGAAAGAGCTTCAAGTCTTAACACAAAATTCATTTTGTGTTGTTTATACCTTGTACACATAGTCTGAAGGTAATTTTATACAGTATTATTAGTGGTTTGCATTTTAACTATGACTTCTCACCTGAGGTTAGATATAGAATCTTCCACTTATTGTGTCTTATTAGTACCTCAAAGATTTTGGCTTTAGGAGCATTTTGAATTTCAGATTATTAGGTTGTTTAATATGCTCAACCTGTTTATCAGACCATCAAATGTTACTCAACCTTTAAGAATGCTAATATAACACGATGACACAGATGAATCTTGAAGTAGATCTTCACTATGTAAAATGCGCCAAATGCAAATGGGCAGCTATATCACTTACTTGAAACACGTGGAGTAATCAATGAGTTGAGATAGGAAGTAGAATGAGTGATTGCCAGAAAATAAGGCTACACAAGCAATGGATAGTTAGTGTTTAATGCTTATGGAGTTTCAGTTGTGGAGAATGAAAGTTATGGGGTAGATGATAAGGGTAGTTGCACAGCATGGCTGCTCTAAATACCACAGAACTTCACACACACACACACACACACACACACACACACACACACACACACACAACAGAGATAGGCGAAAGGTGAACAAATTTTTGAGGAAAGCACAGTTAAGGAAACTGGCTGAAATATTTTCAAAGACCACCACTTTTTTGAAAAGTTTTGCCTTCTTTTTTCTAGGGTTTACAAGGAACCCCTGGAAGTCCAGGCGATAAGGGAGTTGTAGGAGAACCAGTAAGTTTATCTTGATGCTTTTCTGATAGTGTTTTTCTCATGATGTATACTTACATTTATATTGTTTTTGCCTGGTTGTGCTGTGAGTAATATGATTTAAGAACAGCATTTATCATAGACAATTATAGATAAATTGTGCAAAATGATTATTTTGCTTTAATATAGTTTTTAATACCTTACTGATTGCAAATAATATTATTTGATACTGGTTTTCTGGAACTATTGAAATTAACTGTACTTCTATTTTCAGCAAATAAGACTATTTTACTGAGTCACAGAGATTCTAATTCTGAATAATTGCCTCCCCGCATACATACACACAATTACATTTATGAGACCAACTCTATGATATAAAACTTTACAGAAACCAAACTCGACATCTTTTGGGACAAAATGTATAAATGTAACAGAAATGTTGTTAGATCAACAATACAAAACCTTGCATCACAATTCTATAAATATGTTTCAGTTACAGAATTTCTTTGAGAAATAGACTGAGAGAAGGACACACTTTATCACAACCAATTTCTTACAAGTGATTTTTGTTGCCAGTGAAGTCATTCTTCTAGTTAATGGTGTCAGTTGTAATATGGAATAATGTGCTTCTCTCAAATTTGCAATTTAATACAGTGTTTAAAACCACATGATTTTATCATCAATTGACAAAAGGCTTTACAGATGGTCTTTGCATAATTCACTTAGATAATACCAAATGGAAAATACTAACAAAGGGTTGTTGTTACTAAATTGCATTAATTTTCTCCTTTATCTACTTAAGCTATGGTGAAGGCTTTCCACAAAATATGTAAAGATCTGACAATAATGAACAGCTCTCCTAAATAGAGTCTTACATGTGGTGTTTCTTTTACCCAGCTAATTTTTTTTTTTTTGCCATTTTCTCCTTGCTTGCAATGTCTCTATCTGCCTTCACAATCTGACATTCATTTGAACTAAAATAATTCAGTAATAATTCCAGTAATACTATATACTTAACTAGCTCTTGCTCCTAAAGAAAAAAAAAGTTTGTGAACTCCTTTATGTCAGAGATCACTTATTTTTACTTTTGTAATCTCCTTTCCTGGCATAAGGGCTACATATGAGATATGCACAGTTAGCGTTTGTTAAACTGAATTGACAGAAGTTTCTGTAATCAAAGATGCTTGCTCAGCTGGTAGGTAACATTACATAAAGTGAAATGGGTTGAAAACTAAATGAGACTTAGAAGACATTTAAGTCAGTATAAGTGTGTCTCTAGAACTCTGACAACACCAATGAAATTATGAGGATTTACACAATCAGTGGTTTTAGAAGACTTGTTACTATAGCTATAAATGACTAAGTGCCTTTGCAGCACCCAAAAATTAAAATGTTAGTCACTGAGTCAGGGGATTGATAGGTAAAATATAAACCAGAGTATAAGAGATATAAATGGGCCTGAATTTATGCACAATGTTGTCTTTATTTAAAAACATTTTTAGAATTCTGCTTTTGAAGCACTGTTGAACTGCTTTATCTCCTCATTGTAGGAAAATAAGAAAACTGATAAAGTAAAAGAGACAAAGAAGATATTAAAATATGTTTTATATTTTTAGGATACTCGAAGTCTATAACTTTTTCTGTATTCAAGATTCAAAATTGATTTGCTCATTATAGTACAAGCCTTTGTTTTTCAATAGGTATCCATTCGTTCATTCAATGAACATAGGTTTATTAATAATCTGTTGAGGAGACAATGGGGGACGTGGTGAGACTCAAAATCCTTGCCCAATCAAGGTGATTCCTTCATCATGCTAGAGGCTGGGAACTCACTAGGCAACATGCTAAAGGGAGGCAAGATTGGTCCTCACATCTGGTCAGTTTAGGGGTGAAGTTTCCTATATGCCAAATGCCAGACTTTGGAGCTGATTATTTATACTTGGAAGCAGAGGATGAACATCTTCTCAAAGAAGAACTGCATGGATATGGCACAAAAGTCAAGTGGGAAGTAAGTGTAGGCAAAGGGTGTGTAGGGAGGCAGGCTGCAAGACATGCACAGCTTTATACCCAAGGTTTTGTGTTTTTATCTTAAGTACACAAGGATGTCAGTGGAGGGGTAAGGCTAGTTATTGATCAGATTGTTTTGTGAAATTCACTCAAATCACAAGGTACAAAGATCCAAGAATGCCTCCCTATTGTGTAATCTAAGTAACAGATGGTGGAATCTTTTTATTAATAGAGAAAACATGGTGGATAGATTTTAAAATTAAAAAACACACATACACACATAAAATCATTAGAAGATAGAGATTCGATATGTAAGGGATAGCACTTAAGTTTCTGGCTTGTCATGGTAAAGAGGTGATCCTACCAGTCGTTGAGACAGGGGAAATCAATAGAAAATTAAGTTTGTGAGTGGTAAATTGAAAATTCAGTTTAGTTACGTTGACATATTTGAAGTGCCTTTAGGAAAAGTATGTTTGACAGATGGATTCAAAGGAGAGGAATGCTCTGAAATTAAGAATACTGGATTTGCTGCCTGTGGAGAGAATATAGAAATGAGAAAAAAATCTTCAAAAGATAAAATTACAATTAATTTAATTTAGATAGCCTAATTGGTTTATTTTTAATTCTAAAATTAAGAAATAATTCATTCCAAAAGTGGGATTAAATGTTCAAATGAGCAAAGCAGAAGAGATTGATTTTATATACAAAGAAGGTCAAAGAAAGCAAAAGCAGAGCAAAAAACTGGATTAATCATAGTTATTTTTCTTATAAGGCAGGGATAGCGAGAACAATGCAATAAAACTGATTGACATCAGATTGCTTCTTTGTAAGAATTAAAGCAGAACAAACTTCGTTATCACAGTTTTTGTATGTTTAAGGAATTTAGTTCTTCCTCCCTCCTCTTTTTTTAGATCAGATAACAACTTACTTTTAGTTGACTCCATTTTGATTTTTGGTAAGATCTGGTAGGGCCTGGAGCAGAAACTCAGTCTAAAACAACCTCCTGTGATTTTTAGTTAATAGATCAAACACTAAGGTATAAAGGATTCCAGCATTTTTTTTAAAGATTTATTTTTATTATTTTTTCATTGGAAAGGAGGATATACAGAGAGGAGAGACAGAGAGGAAGATCTTCCTTCCGATGATTCACTCCTCAAGTGAGCACAACGGGCCGATACTATGCCGATCCAAAGCCAGGAGCCTCTTCCAGGTCTCCCACGCGGGTGCAGGGTCCCAAAGCTTTTGGGTTGTCCTCGACTGCTTTCCCAGGCCACAGGCAGGGAGCTAGAAGGGAAGTGGGGCTGCCGGGATTAGAACCGGCGCCCATATGGGATCCCAGGGCATGCAAGGCGAGGACCTTAACCACTTGCGCCACCGTGCCGGGCCCAATTCCAGCATTTTTAAAATGTTGGTAGAAGGGGCTTAAACTGCAGAGGAAGCTGAAAGAGATAACAAAAGAGGCTCAGTCTGAACCATCGCCTTATAATCTTCATGGCAAGTTTGGCTCCTTAAGAGGTCTGTAGACATTAAGAGGCATGTGTAAACTGTAGCCTTTACTCCAGTCACTGCTATTCTAAGTCATGTTTTACTGGAACACAACACACCAGTCACTTAAGATTATGCATGGCTACCTTCACATTGCATCAACAAAGTTGAATAGCTTTTGACAGAGACCACGTGACCCACAAGCCTAAAGAATGTACCATCTGGCCTTTGAAAGTTTGATTACCCCAATCTGAATTTCAGTCACACATACGAAGAAAAAAAAGAAAAAAGAATGAAAAGTAAAAAAAAAACTGTCACAAACAATGTCCTTTGGCTTATGCACCATTCAACTTGCAAAATTGTACATGTTGACCCTTGTTAATCTAAAACAGCCATCAGATACTTTCCAAAAAATGATGATATTTATTTGGTAAGAGCAGAGCATTACAAGGGGAACACGTATGCTGAACAACACTATGGGTGTATCCAAATAGATTGTAGCAAGGGGAAGTTTTTAATGTCAAAAAAAAAAAAAGAGAGAGAGAGAGAGAGAGAGAGAAAGAGAGAGAGAAGGATTACATCAGATATTTTGAAACAAGAATCTTTGGCCAAAATGACTAATAATCAAGATGGTGTCAGCTCGTTGCTGAGCAGACGGAGAGTTGTTGTTTAGATGCCCTCAGATAAGTGCTTTCCATGCAAGGCTCCAGAAGCCTCTGCACAAGCTGGAGATGCTGGCTGACTTTTGTGGTAGTTATCAACGGTAATCAGGCATATGAACCCTTCATGGCATCCTGGCTTTGTTTATTTTTTGTTAGGGTTGACACAAGTGACTCCTGTCTTAATTATGACAAATTTTGTATTCTTTTCACAATCTCAACAAATAAATCGATGGGGTCCATTCTTTCCCTCATTCCTGCCTCCATCCCTTCCTTTTTTTTTTCTTCCTTCCTTTTCAGAAATATTGAGTTAAAAAAAAAGTCTCCTGACCTAAATAAATATTATTAGTACCTGTTAGTATTTAAAACTACCTTAAAATCAGTGATAAAATAAATACTATACTTTTAAAAATGAATTCTGCTTATCATTGCTTTATGGCATCCCCAGTATCTTTTTAAATATAATTTTCTAGATATTCTTTCTTAGCTAAGTATTAGAAATCACTTCAATTTGTCTCAAAAGATAGTTAGATTCTCAAATAACTGATTTATGTATACATGAGAGCAAAAACATAGTGTATGTTTCTATGTGTATGCACCAAGATTGTACACAGTATCAGTTTCAGTTTCAGGAACACACCAGTTGTCTTGGAATGCATCCCTCGTGGATAAGGGAAACTACTGTAAACTGGAATTTAAAATTTAAGATGTCATATAGCACAGAGTAAGAAAATAACAACAGATACTGTAACTAGAGATATCCAAGATCTAAAGAGAGAGCTAGTCTGTGTTCATTCATAGAAGGAATAAATATTGTTATGATGTCAGCTTTCACAGTTTGTTCTATTCAGTTAATTCAATACAATTTCAGTTTATATCCCAGCTACTTATGGTAAAGATATCAAACAGCTTCTAAAATTCACATGAAAAGGCGAAAGGTCCAGAATAGCCAATGTAATCTTAAAGAACAAAGTTGGAGGACAGAGAGTACCTGCCTTTAAGACCTCCTCTAAAGTACTGTAATTAAGACAGTACTGAAGCTGCTAAAGTAAAATGGACAACCAGATCAATCTAACAGAATAAGAAGTTCAGAAACAGATCACAGACATAGTATAAAACTTATAGTCCCAGTTCACTCCAATGATCTTTCACGAAGAAGCAAAGGTGAAGAGTGGGTAGTCATTTTCACAAGTGTTCCTGGAATGAAATGGATATTCACATGCAAATCACAAATGCACAAATAATGAACTCAAGATGGATCCTAAGCCTAAATGTAAAATGAAAATCTGTGAAATTAGAAGATAAAGATGAGTGAAATCTATGTGATTTTTGACTTGATAAAAAGCTCATAATTATAACACCAAAAGTATAATCCACGAAAGAAAAATAGCATGTTGTCCAAAATATAGAAACAATTCTAAAAAAAAAATCAACAATAAAAATAATTTTAATGGGCTGTCATTATGGTGCAGTTGATTAAGCCCCTACTTGTAATGCCGGCATCCCAAAACAGAGTGCCAATTTGAATCCCAACTATTCCTCTTCTGTTCTAGTTGCCTGTTAGTGCCACCTGGAAAAGCAGCAGCAGAAGATGGCACTAGGCCACTGCCAGTAGCAGAGGGAGACATGGATGGAGTTGCAGGCTCCTGACTTTGGCCTGGCTGAACTGTTGCAGCCATTTGGAAAAAAAAAAAGAAATCAGCACACAGAAAATATCTCTTTCTTTACCTAAGGCTTCCTCTATCTCCTTCTCCGTGCGTACCTCCTTCTTTCACCATTACTCTTTCAAGAAAGTAAAGATTTTTTTGAAAATAAAATATTTTAGTGGTCAGAAGATCTGAACAGAAACCACATGAAGAAAAATGTAGAAATTGTATAGAAGCACATGAAAACCCGTTCCAAATAAAATGCCATTAGGGGATTGCAAATTAAAACAATAATGGCTACTACCGTATAACCATAGTTCTGCTAATACTAAATGCTACCGAGGCTACAGAGTAACAGAGACTCGTTCTTTATTGGTGAGAATACAAAATGGCATGACTATTTTCCAAGATTTGGCAGTTTCTTCCAACTGCGTATGCTGTTATCATGTAATGCAATAATCACTACCTCTGACATTTACCCAAATGAATACAAAACTCAGATTCACACCCAAATTTACACATAAATGTTATAGCAGTTTATGCAGAGGATTCTCAAATTGGAAGCAACCTGTGATGTCTGCCTTAGTCTCACCTGTTCCTCCAGCATTTATATGTAATAATCCTAACCTCTAAAGTGATGCTCTTAGGAGTGGGGATATCTGGGAAGTGCTTACATGGTCATGAGGGCTCTTCCATCACAATAATGATTTGTAGCCTTCTAAAGAGACCCTGCCAATCATGTTCATGCCTTCCACTAAGAAGGATGCAACCCCAAGGCATCATCTATGAACTGGACAGTGAACCTCACCAAACACTGCATCTGCCAGCACCTCGGCCTCAGGCTCCCCAGCCTCCTGAACTGTCAGAAACAACTTCCTGTTCTGTGAACTCTTAATTTAGAGAAGTCTATCATAGACGCCTGACTAGAATAAAACAGTGGTTTTGAAAAGAAAATATGTAAGCAAACTGAATTGGAAAAGATTAATTATTAAGCCATAGAAATACACTGACAAACCCTACATGCATATTACAAAGTGGAAGAAGCCTATCTAATATGGACACAAACTGTAATTCCAATAACATTCTAACAAAGTGGCAAAAACACTGTGGCAGGAAAAAAAGATCACACATTATCTTTTTTAAAAATGTCATTTTGTTTGTCACATATTTTCAGAAATATTAACTAGATATATGACTGCCCTACCCTTTAATTAAGACACCTGTGAGCATCCTTTGCATAGTGTTTAACACTATTTTTTGGTGTTTGGTAAGTGTTTGTTGAAGGGCATAGAAAATAAAATAATGAACAATATTTCTTTCTTCTTTGGATTCCAAACATAACTTAATACTATTGACACAAACAAGCTGAAGTTGCAATTTACATAAAGTGATACATATACATTTTCTATCATTTATGAGTTTCTTATCTGGATTCAGATCTCTTTTGAAGTAAATTTGAGTCTCATATCTTAAATTTTAATATAGGGACCACGAGGACTGCAAGGCAAGACTGGGCCACCTGGAGAAATGGGGGCTGAGGTAATATTTTTCTAGTTCTTTCTTATTCTTCAATCCCAATACTACTTTTGTAAAACTCTTATGTAAAATTAATATAATAGTTATGTATTGTGAAGAACAATTCTGTAGTGTTTCATTACATATTTAAAAACTAAAACCCAAGGCCAATGTTTTGACTGAAAGAGTTAAGTCATTGCCTGCAACACTCAGATCCTGTATCTGAGCCCACGTTCAAGTTTTTGCCATTCCCCGTTCCCCTTTTGATCCAGTTACTGGATCCAGTTACTGGATCAAAAGGCTCAAGGACTTTGGTCCCTGACAGCAACATGGGAGACTCAGGTCATTTCAACGCTCTCTTTCAGCCTGGTGCAGCCCTAACTGTTGTGGTCATTTAGAGAGTAACCAGCAGATGGAAGTTTCTCTCTCCCTCTTGCTCGCTCTTGTTTACTCTCTCTGTGTAACTCCAACTTAAAATAACATAAAATTAATCTTTAGAAAATAAAGCCTACAATTCCACAAAAGCAAAAATGAGGGTGGCCATTGACATAGTAGTGAAGATGCTACTTGGGACACCTGCCTCCCAAACTGAGATGTCTGTTTTCCCAGCAGTACTTAGGTGCCTTATCACATCAATGGATTCTCACAGTAATTCTTAGTAAGAGGTGGTTGGTTATCCCTGTCTTATAGATGAGAAAAGTAAATAGCTCACTGAAGAGCAGTAGCCAAGAGTAGAAGAGCCTGGGTTTAAACTCAGACATTCTGTCTTCCCAACCCATGCTCTTGGCCACTGTCCCCCAATACATAATGATGCTACCTTATAGATGGATGGAATTATTGCCAGTAGTGATCATTTATTTAGGATTAGAAAAACCAGTGTCAGTTGCAAGCACTGATTCCCAATTGGTTTCAAAAAAAGAACTACCAGAGAAATCCAAAGATAAAAGTCCAAGAAAGTAGATAAAGCAGTCCAAAGGGAGTGAAATCTAGAGTCTTGAAGGTTTCTCTCAAGAGAGTTATAATCTTAGCGACAGAGTAAACATCACCATCTCAGAGGAAAAGCAGAAATATCTAGGCAGTCTTGCTTCAGGGTTCTTTGTCTTAAGCACAGTATAGAACTGCCCTTCCTAGTAGTGAAGGAGTTACAGGATTACAAGAGATGAGCCTCAGAGGACAAGAAAACAGTTCTTCTAAAACAAGACATGGGGAATCGTGCCAGAGCTAACGATTACGGCATCAGCATCCCATATGAGTGCCAGTACTAGTTCCAGCTGCTCGTCTTCCCATCCAGCTCCCTGCTAATGGCCTAGGAAAGCAGCCAAAGATGGCTCAAGTCCTTGGCGCCCTGAACCCATGTGGGAGACCCAGAAGAAGCTCCTGGCTCCTGACTAGATTGGCTAAGATCTGACTGTTGTGACCATTTAGGAAACGTATCAATGATGGAAGATCTTCCTGTCTCTACTTCTCTCTCTGTACATCTGCCTTACCAATAACAATAAACAAATCTTTATGAAAAAAAAAAAGATTTGTTTATTTTTATTGCAAAGTCAGATGTACAGATACGAGGAGAGACGAAGAGGAAGGTGATTCACTCCCCAAGTGACCACAAGGGCCAGAACTGAACCGACCCGAAGCCAAGATCCGGGAACTTTTTCCAGGTCTCCCACGCAGGTACAGGGTCTCAAGGCTTTGGGTCATCTTCGACTGTTTTCCCAGGCTACAAGCAGGGAGCTGGATGGGAAGTGGTACCGCTGGGATTAGAACCAGTGCCCATATGGAATAATAGCACATATAAGAGAAGGACTTTAGCCTCTAGGCTACCACGCTGGGCCCAAAAATAAACAAAAAAAAATTTAAATTATTTTTTAATATCATTTAATGACACAGTTTCATAGGCTCTGGGAGTCCCCCAGGCCTCCCCAAACCCTCCCCCCCATATTGAATTCCTCCATATTGTTACAGTAGTATAATTCATAACAAATTCAGAATAGCAAACCCTTGATAAAAGAGAGTTTGTATATATGAGGACTTACCTTTTAGCAAAAGAGAGAGGTATACTAATTGAGGTATAGAAGAAATCATTAGGAAGACTAAAACAAAACAAAACAAAACAAAACAAAACAAAACAAAAAACTGCATGTTAGGATTTTCATTAGAAGCCGGCCTTGCTCTGCTGTTTGTTTATTTTGAAGAAAACAAAGTGTGTGTGAATTGCAGAAGGTGAGTCAAACTGGAACACCAAGCTTCCTGTATACAAGATTGTCATCCCTGAATCAGAAATATTGAAGAATTTCTGAGACCCTGAAGACAAATAGAAATAAAAGGGAAGGAAAGAGTTAGGAAGGACAAAGAGAGGCAAAGAGAAAGGATGAGAAGGGAGTGAAGGAAGGGGAGAAGTGTGTGGGTGAGTGGGGAATACATTAACATGCTCCAAAGCAAGATAAATGGCTCCAGGAAAGAAAAACAATACAGAAGCATCTGCAGGAGCTCAGAACCTGGAAGTAGCCAGAGGCTGCAAAGAGCTGGGCTTTCCAAGGAGAAGAAATCAAAAATATCCCAGTGAAACTGGGTAAGAAGGAAGACTGGAAAAGCAGCTCTGTCTGCGTACCATTTTTATAATGTGAATAAAATCCTCTTTTTCTTATGCAATTTTTAAATAACACCAGTAAAGAAAAATGAAATTTTTTAAAAAGATTTATTTAGTTTTTACAAAGTCAGATATACAGAGAGGAGGAGAGACAGGAAGATCTTCCGTCCAATGGCTCACTTCCCAAGTGAGCACAGCAGCTGGTGCTATGCTGATCCAAAGCCAGGAGCCAGGAACTTCCTCCAGGTCTCCCGCACGGTGCAGGGTCCCAAGGCTTTGGGCCCGTCCTCGACTGTTTTCCCAGGCCACAAGCAGGGAGCTGCTGGATGGAAAGTGGAGCCGCCGGGATCCCGGCACATTCAAGGCGAAGACTTTAGCCACTAAGCCACCGCGCCAGGCCCGAAAAATGAATTTTTAAAAAAGTTGATTCCACCAGGAAGAATAAAAGTTATAGAAACAAAGTAACTAAGTGTTTGAGGGTAAAAAGAAGAAATAGGGAGTTGGGCTGCTTTCAACTAATGCTTAAAAGTGAAAGGAAGGATTAGAAGAAAACTCCTGATTCCAAGTTAAGTTGTTTTGACCTTTTAAACTTTTAAAAGGTCATTTGCCTTGAAGTTTATGAAGGGGTAGCAAAGAATCTGCTTTGAACCCAGATATCTTACCAGTGAGCTCAAAAAAAAAAAATACCTGCCATCTTATGAGGTTGTTACCCCCTTTGTCATTTGTCAAATCATTCTCTTGTAGGGGCCTCCAGGCATCGAGGGAGAACCTGGTGTGCAAGGCGAGCCAGGTGCAAAGGTAACTTTCCCAACAAGTAAAGAGACAATAAACTTCCACCACGGTATCCCAACATTTGCCACTTTCTGGCACATACCATCTTAAAGGCTGGTGAATACCAGCAAATAAACATAGGAAGTGTCTTGGAACTCACAGTCCTCTATTCTAGGCCTTCCATAATTAGACACCATGTTGATAGCATAAAGTTTTATCTTTCTCATTGTTTCTTCAGGGAGATGTTGGACCTGCAGGCAGTGTTGGAGGAGCTGGGGGACCAGGGTTACGGGTAGGTGTCTATTGGAAATCATTTTTTTTAAGTTTTACTTATTTGTTTTAATTGTTATTAACATTGTATTATGTGATACAGTTTTATAGGCACTGGGATTCCCCCCACCCCTCCCACAAACCTCCCCCCATAGTGGATTCCTCCACCTTGCTGCATAACCACAGTTCAAGTTCAGTTGAGATTCCTTCATTGCAAGCATATACCTAGCATAAAGTCCAGCATCTTATTGTCCAGATAAGTTCAGTGGCTTCTTGGGGAGACTGTCTCTGGTCTGAAGGTAGAGCTAACAGAGTAAAGTTCCGGTCAGTTAAAAGCCCCAACAAAACATCAGCATCAATATACAATGTTATGGAATTAATTGACATGGTATTGAGTAAACAATATGTTAAAAATAATGCAATTTCCATTCTTCAAAACACCTGGGTTGAGACAGTATCAATGACAGATTCAAAAAGTAACAAACAACCAAACAAAAATTACAGGTTAAATTAAGGCAAACATGTGGTATCTAACCTTTTGGGATTCGCTCATTTCCCTTAGCATTATAGTTTCCAGTTGGGCCCATTTAGCCACAAAGAACTGCATTTTGTTTTTTTTAATAGCTGAGTAGTATTCCATGGAGTAGATGAACCAAAGCTTTCTTATCCAATCTTCTGCTGATGGGCATTTCGGTTGCTTCCATGTTTTTGCAATTACTGATTGTGCTGCTATGAACATAGGGGTGCATGTTGGTTTGTCGTGAAACGGGTGTTTTGGATATATTCCTTGGAGTGCGAATGCTGGGTCATATGGTATGCAGATTTTGAGTTGTTTGAGTGTTCTCCAGACTGATTTCCATAATGGCTGTACCAACCTGCAGCTCCACCAGCAGTGGAGTAGGGTTCCCTTTTCCCCACATCCTCGCCAGCAAGTGTCGTTGGTGTTTTTTTTATGTGGGCCAATCTTACTGGTGTTAGGTGGTACCTCATTGATGTCTTAATTTGGATTTCCCTTATTGCCAGGGAGCTTGAGCATTTTTTCATATGTTTGTTTGCCATTTGGGCTTGTTCCTTTGTGAAATGTTTGCCCATTTCCTGTGCCCATTTCTTGAGTGGCTTGTTTGTTTTGGTTTTTTGGTTGTTTTAGAGTTCTTTGTATATCCTGGAGATTAGCCCACTATTTCCTACATAGTGCGCGAAGATCTTCTCCCACTCTGTGGGTTGCTTTTTTACTTTGCTGATTGTTTCCCTTGTTGTGCAGAAACTTCTTAGTTTGATGAGGTCCCATTTGTTTATTCTGTTCTTAACTGCTATTGCTTTTGGCATCCTTCTTAGAAAGTCAGGACCTACTTCTAGGTCTTGCAGGGTATTTCCAACATTTTCTTCAAAGAGTTTGAAGGTTTCTGGATGTAGGTTTAGGTCTTTTATCCATGTAGATTGGATCTTAGTGTATGGTGATAGATGTGGGTCTATCTTTTTGTGTCTGCAGGCTATCAGCCAGTTGTCCCAACAACATTTACTGAAGAGGCCTTCCCATTTGCTTGAGTTGTCATTGGTCTTTTTGTCAAAGATTAATTGACTGTATCCGCGTGGGTTCCCTTTTGGTGCTTCTATTCTATTCCATTGATCTTCCTCTCTATCTTTGTGCCAGTACCAGGCTGTTTTGATAACCACCACCCTATAGTATGTCCAGAGGTCTGGAACTGTGATTCCCCCTGCTAACTTCTTGTTCTTTAGGATGGTTCTAGCTATTCGTGGTTTTTTGTGTTTCCAGATGAATTTTTGAATCATTGTGTCTAGTTCTGTGAAGAATGTTTTGGGCAATTTGATTGGCATTGCATTGAAAGTGTATATTGCTTTTGGTAGTATAGACATTTTAATGATGTTGATTTTACCTATCCAGGAGCATGGAATGCTATTCCAACTTTTGAGGTCTTGTTCAATTTCTTTTTTGATTAGTTTGTAGTTTTCTTCGAATAGGTCTCCTACAATTTTAGTTAGATTTATTCCCAGATACTTCATACTTCTCTCTACTATTTTGAATGGTATCTTGCTGGTTAGGTCTTTTTCCATCTTGGGGCTGTTTGCGTACACAATGGCTGTTGATTTTTGTTCATTAATTTTGTACCCTGCCACTCTGCCAAACTCTTGTATAAGTTCTAGCAGCTTCTATATTGAGTCTCCTGGCTTTTCTATGTACAGGATCATGTCATCCGCATATAGTGAAAGCTTGACTTCTTTGTTTCCCATTTGTATGCCTTTGATTTCTTTTTCTTGTCTTATGGCCTCTGCAAGTACCTCTAGGACTATGTTGAATAGCAGTGGAGATAGTGGGCATCCTTGTCTTGTTCCAGATCTCAGCGGGAAGGGTTCTAGCTTTTCTCCATTCAGTATGATGCTGGCGTTGGGTTTTTCATAGATTGCTTTGATTATGTTGTAGATTTTTCCATCTATGCCTTTCTTGGTTAGAGTTTTTAGCATGAAGAGGTGTTGGATCTTGTCAAAAGCTTTTTCTGCGTCTATTGATACTATCATGTGATTCTTGTTTTTTAGTTTTTGGGTGTGGTGTATCACATTTATGGATTTCCAAATGTTGAACCATCCTTGCTTTCTAGGGATGAATCCTACTTGATCCGGATGAATGATCTGTCTGATGATTTTTTGAATTCTGTTGGCTAGGATTTTGTTGAGAATTTTAGCATCAATGTTCATCAAGGAGATAAGTCTGTAGTTTTCCTTCTCTGATGGTTCTCTATCTGGTTTTGGGATTAAGGTAATGTTGGCTTCATAGAATGAGTCTGGAAGGGTTGCTTCCTTTTCTGTTGTTTTGAAGAGTTTGTGGAGGATTGGGGTTAGTTCTGTTCGGAGTGTTTTGTAGAATTCTGTAGTGAAGCCGTCTGGGCCTGGGCTTTTCTTTGTTGGGAGATCCTTGATGACTGTTTCAATTTCTGTCTCAGTTATGGGTTTATTTAATTCTTCTGTTGCCTCTGGACTAAGTTTTGGTAAGCAGTGGAGGTCTAAGAACTTTTCCATTTCTTGGTGGTCCTCTAATTTATTGGAGCACAGTTCTTTGTAGTAATTTCTAATTATTTTCTTAATGGTTGCAGTGTCTGTTGTTATGTTGCCTTTTTCATCTTTAATGCTGTTGATTCTCACTTTCTCTTGTTGTTTTTTTGGTCAGTCGGGCCAGTGGAGTGTCTATTTTATTTATTTTGAAAGCATTATTTTATTTGGTTCATTCTCAAATGCCCACAATGAGTGAGTCTAAACTGGCACCCAATCTAGGTGTAGGAAACAGGTCCCTCTTTAGAGGTGGCAGGAATCTAATTACCTGAGCCATCACTACTGCCTCCACAGCTCTGCATTAGCAGATGCAAAAATTGTGAAGTCAAATCAAGGAACCAAACCCAGGTAATTAGATATGAGATGTGGAGTCTTAACTCTTAGATTAAGTATACTTTCCTGAAAACCTTTTAATAACTCACCTATCTGCTTATGTCAGTGAGTCAAAGCTTAGTAACTTAGCTTCATAAGACTTGAAAACAAGCGTAATAAACCTTTCTGATGTATTATTTAAAATGTTTATCTTTACTTCATAATTTCAAAAACTGCATGCCAAACACTACTCATATTCTTATTTTGTAGCATTTACAGTTGTAATTTCATACACACTTTCCTCCAAATGAAGTGTTCTCTGCAGAATGCTTGTCAAAAATGTGAGACACTGTCATTGTCAATCATGATACCATTAAGAAGATTCACACAAATATCAATGACCAGCTCTCAGGATGTTTTCTCATCTAATGAGACAAATGAATGAAATATTAATTTAATTTTTTTAAAGATTTATTTATTTTTATTGAAGATTCAGATATGCAGAGAGAAGGAAACACTGAGAGGAAGCTCTGTCTGATGATTCACTTCCCAGGGGTGGAACTGAGCCAAGCTGAAGCCAGGAGCTAGGAAAATCTTGTGGGTCTCCCACATGGGTGCAGGGTCCCAAGGCTTTTGGCCATCCTTGACTGCTTTCTCAGGCCACAAGCAGGGAGCTGGATGGGAAGCAGGGCCACCAGGATTAGAACCAGTACCCATGTAGGATCCCGGTATGTGCAAGGCTTTAGCCATGAGGATATCGTGCTGGGCCCAATTTTAATTTTTTAAACAAACTAAAAATTGAAAGTTTTCAAAGATACAAGGGAAAATATATTTAGCTATAATTGGATAGTTCTTATCCAACTGTAAGTTTCTATAATTATGCTAATATAAATAGCCTTTATTTTAAGCTGTGGTGAAACTGTTTTCAATAAGAAAATAGAATCAAAGATAATTCATTAGGCATTCATTCACAGAAAGTTTTGCATCTGCTTTCTTTTCACTTTCCCTTTTGTGCAAGAGTGGAGAGGCAGGGAAAAGGAGGAGTAGGAGATAAAATAGTGAAAGTGTTAATGATGGGAGAGGTAGAGCAGAAATGAATAAACATTAATTGTCTTTACCCATTAACAGATCCATAACTCATTTAGTAGCACCATACACTATGGTTGTATATTTCTGCAAGTTCTGGATTTTTTTTAATATATTTTGACAATCTTTACATAGTTAATTAGGGTAAAAAGGGTCAAGAGCTATAGGAAAGTGGGTAAGACTATTATTTTTTCCATATTGTTTCCTTCATGTTTAAAGGGGGGTATTAAGGGAGAAGGCCCACCCAATTTCCCACTCTCCCCAGGTCCCGGATGTAGGGTATGCTCTGAGGTTCTTGCTCAAGTGGTTTTGATATTTCAACAGTTATGAATCGCTGCCCATCTTGCCACTCCAAGCACTATGAGGTCCATGAAGAATCCACTGATTGACATAGTCTATCATAGAGTCTCTGTTTGCCCCGTATTTCACTGCCAACATATAGCTGAGTTGGTTGGTTAACTTGTTCTGTCTTCTGTCTTTTCTTCGTTAGGGTTCTGAGTCCAGCATTTTGATTGGGGAGATCTCCAAAGAAACTTTGTCTGAGGTGTTCTCAGACCAGATTCTTGTATGTGCTAGCAAGTACAGGGCCCAGCACAGTCCATGGTCCCGATCAGCTGGTGGTTGCAATTGCTGGGTTGGTTCTGTTTTCACTCCTGACTTCCACTGGAACTAATGGGTGTTGCAGTCCAGCCAGGTGCAGTCCAGCACATATGTGGCCCTCACATAAACAAATGGGAGCTGCAGCCTAGTTGGAGAGACCCACAATAACCACCTCGAAGTTTGCCCCCTACCCTGGTTTGCCAGTATGTGTAGCAGTAATCCAGTCTTTCCCACACCCCATTCCACCCCAGCCGCTGTCCAAGTTTTATGCCCTCCCATGGAAGTAGTTACCCAAGAGGCAGGACCCACTGTTTCCCTCCCAGGCCTCTCCCAATCCCAGATTATGCACTCTCCAGATAGTTCTGTGGTTTGACTTGAAAGAACTGGCCCCCAGGGCCAGCTTCTGCCAGCTGATGCTGTGGCTAAGCCCAAACAACCCTCACCCACTCTAATTTTGTTTGCACCAGTTGGAATAATCAGCCCAGCCTGGCTTTTTCCCTGATCTAGTCCACATGAGGCGCACAAGTGTTGTAGCCCTGCCTAGTCTGGTCTGCCCCCATCCCAGCCTACGTTCTCCAGCGGGAATAGCTGTCCAGCAAAGGAACCCTGTATTATTCCCCTGCTGGCTCTGCCCCCTCCCTTCCTTGTTCTCATGCTTGCTGGTTGGGCAGTCCCTTCCAGTACAGGCAACCTCACCTTGGCATTCCATATTGTGTACTGGTTTTCGTCACGACCAAACCTGGCTCGACCCACACTGTTCTGGTGCTTGGATATGCCAGTGGATGATGTGGACAGATTCAGCCTGGTCTTCCCCCAACCCCTGCCAATTGTATGCCAATGGGTAACTTTCCATGGCCTCTTATGGGCTGTTTCCTATCATGCTTCTTTCGCTTACGTGCTGGGTCTGTGTCCTGCCAGAGGAGTTGCCCAGGCTCCTCCATCAGAACCTCTCCCAATGCCAGGTTTCACGCTTACCAGTAGGTCCATGAGCCAGCCCTACTCAGTCCACCTCCTGTCATAGCAGGAACTGTGGCTTTTCCGGACTGGCCTTCAACCCAATCTGGTCCTTGCTGTTGGATGTTTCAGCCCAGCCATGGTTTGTCCATACCCACATATGGCTCACACATGGCTCAGTAGGGGATTGAGACCTTGCCTAGTCCATCCCACATCTATCCCAGTCCTCCAGGACACCAGAGGGTGTTGGGGTCTGGCCCAGTTCATTGCATCCAATCCCAGTCCACGGTTGTGCCATGGGGGACTACAACCGTTTCCAGATCAGAATGCAGCCCCCACTTCCAGGCCACACGCCTCTTGGTGGGAACTTCAATCCAGCTAGGGTTGTCCCCTTAGCTCCCCAACCAGGCCTCTTCCCAGCCATAGATCACATGCATGCCAGTGGATGCTCTGACTCAGCTTGGCTCAGCCCCTCCCCTGTCCCGAACTCTGCCTTAGACACTGTGGCTTAGCGTCCCTAGCTCCCACAGACCAGTAGGTACAAGAGCCTAACTCGGCATGACCTATGCTCTGTCCTGGTCTCTAGTTTTGCTTGTGGGCTAAGGTTTGCTCAGTCCTGCCTGATCTACCCTGTTCCTTAACCAACTGACACATTTGCCAGCTGTTGGAGCTACTTTGCCCAGCTTGTCCAACCCCCAGGTGTGGACCACATGTTCACCAGCAGGAGCTATGATTCGCCAGGGGAGTTTCCCAAATTCCTCCACTTAATCCACTCCCAGACCCAGTTCTCATACATGCCATAGGGTTTAGGCCAGTGCCTGGCGCAATCTGGCCTTCCATTTGGCCTTGTATGAGCTGGTGAACGTTGCAGCCCGCCCACCCATACCCTATTCAGGATGCACATTTGGGTGCTGCTGCCCTGACCAGTCCAGACTATTGGGCATTTCTTTACCTGTAATTGATGACAGGCTCCTTGGTCACACCTAGCTTAGTCCATCACCACCCCAACTCTTGAGATAACCAGTGGTGCTAGAATGTTCACAGGATGTGGCCCACACATCCCTCATAGGATTTACCCCCGGTTATGGTGCTTGGAGTGCTAGTTAATGTAATGTCTTGCTTAATGTGACCCTTCTCTTGATCTATCATATCATGTAACATGATATAATTCTGCAGGACAAGTCCCAAGCCATAGCTTTTGCATGGACTGATATTTGGTGGTCAGCATTGTTCAGTGATTACAAGTTTTACAGAAGAAGAGTTACTGCCAATGGGAATCCTTATGAATTCTTCACATCCAAGAAGCACAGTGGGTTCTAACTGGAACTAACTAAGCAGCGATTCAAAGAACCAAAACTCCAGAGCTTCCTGGCCGGGCAGCCAGCAAGTGGAGCCGCCTGGGGACAGCTCACCCAGTGCACATGGTGGCTGTCGTCTGGGATACAGGCATGAGATGCTGCTTCCTGAGACCCACCAGCAGCCTGGAGGCTGCTGGAAGTTTAAACTCCCAGGCCCAAGGTCACGCCCCTCCCCATCCCATTCACTGCCCAATGAAGGTGGCGGGTGGGTACTGGACCTGCCCAGTCACGGAAACCTCCTCCATCAGTGTACTTACCCCGAAGGGAGCAGCCCCTGGATCCCAGGCAGGCCCGGGGACAGCTCACCACATGCACATGGTGGCTGTCTGGAATCCAGGCATGAGATGCCCCATCCTGAGACCCACCAAATTCTGGATTTAAAAGACAGATTCTTTATGGTCTGGCATGTTAGTCTTTACTTTTCTCTGATGGGAAAAAAATACAAACGCTCTAAAAATCTAGTATAGTAATCATAACTGTATCAAGTTATACTCTCCAGTGTAAATTCAGTGTACAAGGCATTATAATTATACAATGAATATTTACTTTCCTTGAGCTCAGGGATATAAATATGTATCAATTTTTAGAGCTACCTAGTGTGTGCATATTACTTTTAGATTGTTATAATCTGTTCATATTCTGGGACCATCTTGTACTTGAATTGGTAACACTCTGACTCCTTAAATTATCTCGCGAGCTATTCAAAGTAAATTAAATCATGCTGTCAAATCTCCTTTAGAAATCAAGTAGAAGTGCAAATAAGCACAAACCTGTTATTTTCTATATATTCCAGAGGTAAAAGAAAAAAAAAAAGACAAATGATGTAGCCAAAAATTTAGTCTCACATTTTCTGCTGCAAAACAGGGTGAACCAGGAGCTGCTGGAGAAGAAGGTCTCCAAGGAAAAGATGGATTCAAGGTAAAGCATGCTTGTAATATTATATAGAAAATGAATGTTTCATGAAGCCTTTGATATAAGAAACATAATTATTTTGAGATGCCAAACAAAAGTCTACTTGTTGTGAAGTATAACTATTTCACTACATTCCTTTTTAAAAGAAAAACTGTATTGAATTACAGGGAAATCAAGGAGATCGGGGATTTCCTGGAGAGAATGGAGACAAAGGCGAGATGGGGATGAAAGGAACTCCTGGGCCCTTGGGTAAACCAGGTCACATGGGACTTCCGGTAAGTCCTTCTAGGTCCATTTTCAGATTCTCAGCGAAATTGGTGCACATTCACGTGAACACACACACACACATACACACACTGACTTAACCCCTGGGTAGTCAGAAGTGTGGAACGGTAGCTTGAAAGCAGAACAAAAGGAGAATACTTGTCTTCCTAAGATATACAATAGGAAGACATTTTTTCCATAAACCATGTAGCTTTTATCAAAAAACATTAAATTCTTTATGTTGTCAAAACTTAGATTGGGCACTTCTTGTGCTTATTCATAGAACTGACATTATTACAGAACAATATCCTACCTTTGGGATGAAATTCTTTGCAAGCATAGTATCTGGCTCAGTGTCAGGTATCTGATCTAAATTGAGACATAACTTTAGCAGAAGTTTTAAATGTCATATGGAATAAATCCTCTCACCTCAAGAAATATTGGTTTTATATAGAGAGAGAGGGGTTTCTCTCCAAATACCTACCATACCCAGGGCTGAACTAGGGAGAAACTGAGAGCCAGAAGCACAATCCAGCCAGGAACCTGAGTGCATGAGCCATCAACTGCTACCTCCCAGGGTGTATATCAGGAAGATGGAATACCAAGTGCTTTCATGGGGAATGGAGGCATACCAAACATTGGCCCTGCGTCACCAAATATCCGCCCCCATGATGTAGAGATACTGAGTCTTTATTCTTTCCCCTCTGCCTTCTAACTTCCAAATCACTGATTGTCTTAAGTCCAACGCCTTAACCACTCGACCATTCTGGTAGTTAGATCCAAATCACTGATTGTCATCTTAGATAAACCCTGTCCCAGTGGGCACAGTTAGATATGCTGAAGTAAGCTCTAACTAGACCAATAGAACATATTTCATAAAAGAAACATAAACTGACATCTCCACTTTCACATGTGTGCATGACTGTACAATTAAAATAATGCCCTCACACATCTTTCCCCAAATGATAGATAATATTGCCAGTGTTTTTCAAAATGACATTTGAAAAATGAATGATGTAGAAGTGTCCCTGTGTTTAAACTTGGGCAAATTAAATCATTCTCTCCAGTTTCAGAGTAGTGCTAAAGTACCCTTTTCTCCCATGTCACCCTCTCAGCCATGGAAAATTATGACGGATATTCTTCCCTGACAAATACAAAGTATCTGAGAGTCCTCCACAAAATTATCTTAAATGCCATTGACCTAGACAGCAAATGATGTGTTTTCCCTTATATCCTCTTACATCATACAGTTGAAAGAAACAACCTCAGAGAAAGTTAAGAGGCTTAATATACAAGATAATATGGCACTTATTCCTTTATTTTTTGACTTCTGTGTCTCTAAGCCTCACTTATTCAAAAGATAACCAGTTTCAATCCCATGTTTCGTCTTTCTGATGTTATTGCTAAATTTCCTCTTTGGAGAACGCTCAACCCTCTTCCATTATGGTCAAGGAAAAGCCCACAAAGAATCCAAGGAATGGATGCCAAGAAAGTGTAATTGTTTTCCTGAGAGTTGTTGTCAAAGTTGATTTTATATTTTAGAAGCCATTAACAGTTATTTCTAATTAGCACAAATTTTCATCAAACTTTTATTGCAAAATTATAAGGATTAGTGGGAAGGGGTACACAGAGGTAAGAAAAAGAAAGACCTAAAGGGACCATGAACTAACAGCAAGACAGCCAGGGAAAGATGATGCAGTTTGACAGTTTGTGATGGGCAAAACAAAGATGAAAAAGGATCTCAGTGCAGGCATGGAAACATGACAAACCCAGATTTCATCTGCTTCATAATTTTTCCCAGGAACAGTCCAGCCTAGTACACATCTTTTGTGCCTTTTTTTTTTTTAGTAACAACACATGTGTGTTTCTTCTTCATTCTTCTGTTGTTCTCCTTGGAATTTTAAATGCCTTTTAGCTTATAAACTCAGGGGAAAAAATACACTGGCTTTTTTTTGTATTTTCAAAAAGAATCTTATGATCCAAGGGACTATTGCTAAGACAGCCTGATGTTGGCTTTATTTTTCACTTTTAAAATTATTCCTTAGGCAGTGTCACAAAGATGCTTTCTTGGATTCTTACAAAGTAAACAAGAGAAAGAAAGAAAAGTAAATAAACATTTTTGTTTTCAAGAAAAGAGGATCTATTCTTACTTCCTATGTCTAAATGCCTAAATGCTCATGAGAAAAGAGTTAAAAAAGAAACATCTGCCTCACAGCTTGCGTCTGTGTCTATAAAGCAGTCTGCCACAGTGGTATCTAAAATCTATTCATATGTGTCTCTATGACACATAGTTAAATTCATCAAGATAAAAATGGATTGTTTTCCTTCCTTGGGACAAAATTTTCTTCGATTTATTGAAATGTGGTTTTACCAGTATGTATAAGGTGATATTCGAAATGAGTATCTTAAGAAATGAAATGACACAAAGGCCCCTTTCTCTAAAAGGCTCTTTTATATTTATAGCTGGAAAAGAATGATTATATATATATATATATATATATACTTTATTGGAAATCTTGATAAACAGTTGGGGGAATAGGAGTTGAGTGGCATTAGGGAGTGAAGAATTATCTAAATCTTTTATCATTTAAATAGTTCCTATGACTCTGATGTTAGGCTTCTTTATTTTGGATCATTTATCCTAAAGCAAAATAGAAATATACATAAATCTCTTCTGCCAACCCTGTGACCATCGTTGAAACTCCTGCTGTCTTACTAAAGCGTTGTGCTTGTAAAGTCTGTGGTTTCTTAGTTCATGTATTGTACAAAACAAAGGGATTGGAGATCTCTTTCAAAATCTCTGGTGGAATGCCAAATTAGCATACTGAACTCCTTATAGCCCTTTTTTAGTCAGAAAAATATCCTTATATATTTCTTTACTATATTAGCGTTCATTTATTTTTTTTTTTTGACGGGGAAAAGGTTGTATACCCTCACAATAATTATCTTGTATTTTAAGCATTTTGTTCAGTTTACAGGTTGATTCTATAATATGTGTTTGTGCATTAGTTCAACAAAGTATTTACTGTTTTCTGTTACACAAGAAGTCTGCTAAGTACTCAGGTCAAAAGATTAACAAAATCCCTGGTTTCAGATATTATACCCTAATAGAGAGGGACAACAACAGATTGAAAGTCATTGCTGACTGTGATCATGCAATGATGGAAATAAATGGGATAATGAAAGAGAATAGCTGAATAAATGTAGAAAGAAGACTAATTAAGCTTAGGGAATGCAGTACACTGAGGGTGAGAGCGCGGACTTCTCAGAAAAGGGAACAGATGAATAGAGATGTGGAGAATTAAAAGGAAACTTCCATGCAAAGAGCTCTGCAAAGATTTTTCAAGACTGATGGAGCAGCAAGAGTCAAGAGTTCGAGATGAGAATGAGCTAAGAATTTTTAGAAAGTTAAATAAAGTTTTGCAGCTACTGTACAATGAATATTAAAAAGTTCCTCAAAGTGAGCTTGAAGAAACTGGTAGGAATACGATTGTGAAGGACTTTTTAAACCATGGTGAAACGATTACCTTTTATTGAAAGTATACTGAGAAGTCATTGAAAGATTTTGAACAAAAGAGGAACGTAGTCTCTGATGGGAATCACACTTTGGTTTTTAAATTATGTTTAACAAAATAAGTGTTTTTGGCTACTTCAAGGCATGAAATCAAATTTCAAAAAAAGAACAAAATAAATTTGAATTATAAAAGTGCATCATATGCCAAGACCATTCAGTGAGAGAAAGAACAGTTTTTTTCAATAAATGATTCTGGGACAACTAGATATCCACATACAAAAGAAAGAGTCATAACCTTTCTTATAATACACACAAAGATTAACTCAAAAGATCTAAATTTAAGAGCTAACTGAAGAACCTCTCATCTGGAAGATGACCCAAATACTTGGGAATATGCTTTCCAATGTGGAAGATCAGGGACTAGTACTTGGTTTCTGGCTTCAGGCTGCCCTATATCTGACTATTATGGCCATTGGGCAAGAGAACCAGTGGATGGCTGATCATTTTCTCTCTTTTCTCTCTTTTCTTCTCCCTCCCTCTTTCTCAGTCTTTCAAATAAATAAATATTTTTATAAGAATTATCTCATTTCAAATGGCACAGTCAAGAAAGTGACAATTTCCATGAGAAAGCTTTTTGCAAATCATGAATTATAAGGAATGTGTATGCAGACTAAATTAACAGCACAATAAAAAGACAACTCAACTGAAAGACAAGCTAGAGCTAAATTTCTCCACAGATATCAAAAGGCAAATAAAGCATATAAGAAGATACTTCGACATCATTATTCATCATGAAAATGCAAATTAAACTACATTGAGAAACCTCTTCATAGCCAGTAGCTTGGTTGCAATAAAAAATGTGAAAAATAATGTTATTGAGGATATAGAGGAATTAGAATCCTTACATACCTTGCTCATGACATGTAAAATTTTGTAATTGTTTTGAAAACCACCTTGGGAATTTCTGATAATGTTAAACATGGACTTAACTAGTTGACTGAAGAATTCCAGTCCTAGGTATGATAAGTAAGATAATTTTCAAACAACTTGTACATAACCAAAAGTCAAAACAACCTAAATGGTCATCACTTGATGAATTCAATGTGATATATTCATATAATGGAGTATATTTGATGATAAAAATGAATGATAATACAATGCAAAATTAAGAAGTCACAAGAGATTACACATGTTGTGTGATCCCTCTTTATGAAATACTCCAAATAGGCAAACCCACAGACCCAGAAAATGAATTAATTGCCTAGAGCAGATGGGCAAAGAAAGAATTGTGACTTCTTACAGCTACATAATTTCTTTTTGGAATGATGAAAATGTTTCAGTTGCAATAATTCCACAACTCTGCATGATACATGTTTTATATATCTGGTATGTACACTGATTCTCAATAATGCTCTTTTGAAAAATAAGTATAAATGAGTATGATGAGAGAAGCTACTTTTGCAAGGCTTAAACTACTCAGTGGAGAGTACCAACATGTTCCTCTGTGTTAAGGAGATAAACCAAACTATTCTTTATAAACATGACAACTTTATGAGGAGGCTTCAAAACGCCCATGGGAAAATGAAATTAAAAGTGATGTGTATTTACACAAATTTTTGAAGTCACCTCATGTGACATGTTATATAAAATAACATTTTATCAAAGAAATCTGCTTGAGCATACACACTGTAGAAAATATTATTTTTCCCTGCAAGTTTCAAAATACACAAATGCATTGAGATGGCAGCGTTAGCTTGTAAAAGCCAACAGTTTGAAACAAAATATTATTCATGCATTTCAAGAAAGGATTAAAATAAACCAGCTTAATGTCAGAACAACTTTACTCCTTCTCAGCCCCCATGAAAAGTGAAAATAGTAGAATATCCTGAAAAAGAAAAAAAAAATGTATGAACGAAAGACTCAGGGGAGTTTTTGTGATTATATTGACAGTACAAAAATATAAAATAGAATGACAGAACTCCTTTTCATATGCATAATTGTTTCTTAAAATATGTAAAAAGCTCTATTTTGTAAAAAATTTTCTATGTAACCATATGTTCCATCCCCTAGAAGCTAAAAGATCTTTTTGAAAACCTCTCATTATATGTGGCTTTTATTTGCAAAGTTTTATTTTACTTCCAATATTTAGTACATATTCTTTAAAGTGTCATTTCCTTACTAGTTATTACTAATCTGATTAAAGCTGAGAATTTCCAGCTTTGAGAATGCATTCTGTCATCTGGTTACTCATTCATAAATTATTAAATATCAGTTGAATGCTGGGCACAGATCTGAGTTCAGATAAAGTAAACAAAATAAAAAAAAATCCCTGCTATCATAAAATGAGAAGGCACTATAACAAGAATAATAATTTTTGGTAGTTATCAATGTTATGAAGAAAACAAAATACATTGTTTAGATATAATGTGGCCAAGTAGCAGGGCTGTCATAAGTGGGAGTAGTCAATAAGGTACTGCCTGAGAGGGAGTATTGGTATAAGAAGAAATTTACAAACCCTTAATTATGTCAATGCTCTACAACTACTGAATTAAAGTATTCACATATCAGCGGGAATAACAACTTTTGTATAGCTAATGTTCCTGAGCTATTACTTGAAACAGCTGGGAAGCTTGTGGTTGCAGTCACGTTTTGAGATTAACAGCCTTCTGGTATCTAATGATGGTATCCAAAACAGAAAAGGCCTTGACCTACTTGGAAATAAACAAAGGCTATTATAGCTACAGCGCAATAAATAAACTGGAAAACATTATGTCACAAAAATAGTTGGAGCTAGATTATCTAGCATATTATAAAATATGATAAGAGGTTTGGAGATCATTCTAATCGCATCAGACAGCTATTTGAAGGGTTTTAAACAGGGAGACATGAGTAAAAATTATAGTCATTTATCCCATAGTGGAAGATTGAATCATGGGGGTACAAGTGGACCAAGCTACTTGGGAGGCTGTGATGAGTGGGAACGCAAGGGAGCAGAGATACTGAGTATGATCAGGTTCCTGATTTGCTAATAGCTTGGTTGTTTAGAAAACATAAAAAGATTTAACAGAGCAATGGAGTAGATGATATCATTGAAGATTTAGCAAGGGTAATACATGGTTTAAATTGTACTCAAACATTCCTGCATATGAGGATTTTTCCCTGGCTCATCTGACATTCATTCCTGTTTACTGACTCAAGGGATGCAGTGGTGGAATGGAGGCCAAGAAGACTTAGAATCTATACAGTTGAGTGCTTGAACTTAATCTTCTCTGTAATTTAGTAGAATATTCAAGTAATGCTCAGATGTATTAATCACTTGATCTTATCACTTCCTGACCTCCCTCTTCCGGGCCTTTGCAATATTGGACTGTGTGCCTTGTGACAGTAAGGATAAGGAGCCTTGGATCTGGACACAGTGTTGTTCAGACTAATTACGATATGTTCATGTCCCTTGTAAATATGTTTCTTTCCTATCCTGCTGGCCTCTGGTGATAATGTCTGTGGCTGGTTATTTTTGTGGTTCCAACAGGGGCTGGGGAGGTGATGATGGTGGAAGGTTAGTTCCCTGCTAAATTGGCCTCCTTTCAGCTACTACTTATCTTCACGGATTCCTCCAGGGTCTATGTGATTCTCTTCCAGGCCTAGCCCACGAAATCTGCTTTCTAGCTCTTATTACAGAATTATATTTTCCCATGGCAGTGGCCAGTCTTTGACACCTGTAAGCTTCCCTGTGCCTGAGTTCCCATCTACTTAAAGGAACTAAAACAACGGCCCAGGAAAATTTAACCTTGTGATTCTCCTCATTTTGAGTATATACCAACTAATATGAGAACATTTTATTTCAATACCGTGGTTGAATATTGATTATAATTAATAACAAGTAATTGGTGACTTCCTTATATGAGTATCACAAGAAAATGTTTAATTTTTAAAAATTACAAATTCAACTCATGTATCTTACATATCAAATAAAGAAAAATGCAATAGTTGAAACAAAAAGTATTTAGAATTATTTACTACTCATAAATTAACTGCCATTTTTAATAGTGAGACTTTGACAAATGATCTAAGGTAACTACTATGCACTATTTCTGTTTGACTCTGACTGAAAGCCCCTGCCAGTACAACAGAGCAAAATAATCAACAAATGATGAAGCATGGTGAGAGTTCAGCAAGAGGCTATATATAAAAATACACAAAGATAGATTCCATTCTTCACTGGCAACAGGCAGTTTAAAAGCAATTTTTAAAATATGGTTTCCAATAACTTTAGAAACAAATTAAGCACATATGAATAAATCTAAATAAAGTTAACAATATTTTCACAAATAAAAGAGTGTTAAGTTTACTGACAGCAGTAAACTCCTGCTCTCTGCTACAGGCTTGGGAAAACAATAGAAGATGATTCAAGTCATTGGACGCCTGCACTCATGCAGGAAATCCAGAGGAAACTCCTGGATCCTGGCTTCAAATAGGCTTAGCCCTGTCTGTAATGGTCTTTTAGAGAGTGAATCAGAGAATGAAAGATTTCTCTGTGTGTCTCTGCTTCTTTCTGTAACTCTGCCTTTCAAAAGGAAAGAGAGAGAGGCTATTTGGGGAACTTATGTTGGCAAGAGAAGCAGTAAGGATCCAAAGAAAACAATAAAGGAAAAAAATAAATATTGATGAGTATGATTATGATTATAAGTTGTGTTCATAAAAAACTATTATAAGCAATATATATCGGCATTGAGTTCTAAGCTATATATACATATATGATTAAGTTCTATTGAAGTATGTGGAAGGAACATGAATTTTCATTGCAACTTTTAATATCTTTATAGGTATTATTTCATAATTCACTTTTAGAAAGCCAACAGTGGTTGGTAAGGACTAGCATTTTGTTGAGCTCTCTGTTTAGTCTTACCCTCTGTAAGATTCATATTCATTATTTCATTTAATGTTTATTACCGTTTGAAGAAGTTTTATTATACTTTTCGTAACAGGAAATTCTGACTGTTAGAACTTAGTTAATCTACCCAGGTTCATGTGACTATTAGGTACCTTAGTATGAATCTGGAGTCTGACTGTTAAAAGCTCACCTCACAGCCTTAATTTCTGCAGGATTCATCAGCCTTTTTTGACACGGTCTTGTTAATGCTTCAGGCGTCATTCTAAGAGTGCAACTATTGTTTTCACCTCTGGATGCAGCTGTAACTACACCAGTGGCCTCCTAACTCAGCCTCAGAGGCTACTAGTGTCTGCTCAGGAGCGCAGGGCATGAGTCACTTCCTTAGGTATCTGTTTATTCATTCAGCAAATATTTATCAAGAGCCTACATAGCACAGTGGTAAACCACAATTTATTTCTGGGCTAACTCATTTTCACAGTTTGCCAAGTTTCAAGGACACAAATTTGAAATTTCCATTCTGATTTCCAACTAATGAAATGAGTGTTCTAGTAAATTATTAGCCAGTTTAGAACTTGCTAACTGACTTACCATGTATCTCACCGAAGCCTAATCATTGTTAATCTGAAAGTTTATACTAATCTCCCATTTTTTTACCAAAAAATATTGAAAATTTTAACTAACATACCTATTGACATGAAAATATTATTTTAAACTGTATGACTACCTCTCTTTTTCTTTATGTATTCCCTTCTCCCCTGTTTTTTCTCCACAAGTTATAGCATATCCCTTAAACCTTGTTACTCCAATGTAGTTTTGAAATTTTCTCTGAATGGATATTCAGGATATTTTTAAAATATTTCTGATCGGTCTTCTGTATTTTTCACTAAAGTGCCGAAATGTATTCATTTAGTTTTACTTCGTAGTCTTATTTGTATAAATGGTATACTAAAACCAAGTAATTTTTTCATGAAGAACAAATGAATTTTCCTATTTTTACCATGTTGTACTACTAACACTATACCTTTTTGAATAACTGTATAAACAAAGTTGTGTTAAAAAATCTTAATAATCAATGATTATCTGATGGGAGTAATTAAATATCCCATTATGGCATTTCTTTAAACATTTATTTCTGTTTGTATATTGAATATTCAGGGACCAGAAGGAACTATGGGGGTTCCAGGACAAAGAGGTCATCTAGGGAAAAAGGTAAGTTTTTTATTCATGTACTTCTGATCAGTTTTATTTCTTCTGAGGTACCCATATCTCAAAAAATTTGTCCTATTTGCGTATGTGCATGATGGAATCATATTGTGACACCTCAGGTTAATCCAGTGCCAGCAAGACCAGCATCCTATATGAGTGCTGGTTCCTCTCCCATCCTGAGAAAGCCTGCCACTTACATGTGAGATCAGGATGCAGTGTCTGACTCTAGGGTTTGATCTGGCCCAGACAGCCATTGTAGCCATCTAAGGAAGCAGCCAATGGATAGAAGCTTTTTTTCCTCTGTCTCTTTCAAACAAATAAATAAAAAAAATCTTCATTTTAAAAAAAAAGTATATAACTTTTAAAAAGTACATAACTGTAAGTTTGTCTTTAAAAGACCTAGCCTTACAAATTAAAGATTTATTTATTTTTATTTGAAAGGCAGAGTTACAGAGAGGAAGAGAAAAAGAGAAGGTCTTCTAGCTGCTGTTTCACTCCCCAAATGGCCACAACATCCAGAACTGAGTTAGTTAGAAGCCAGGAGCCAAAAGCTTCCAGCTTGACTGCATGGGTGTAGGGTACCAAGGCTTTAGCCATTCTTCACTGCTTCTGTTTCCCCGCACCACAAGCAGGGAGCTGGATAGATAATGAAGCGACCAGGATGTGAACCAGCACCCAAAAGGGGTGCCAACATTTACACAGGCAGAGGATTAATGAATGGAGCCATCATGCCAACTCTTATTAATTTCACATCATAAAATATTCTAGTTTCCAAAGTCCAGTTCTAGCACTTCTCAGAAATAGAAAGGAAAATTAAAAATAAAGAGAAATGAAGGAATTAGCCCTTTTAGTTGCCATTCTGGCATATGAAATTAATGCCAAATTGATGTCTCTCTTCGTACATAATTTATGTCTAGAATCAAATCCAGAAGTGAGACAGTACTGGTATTTATTGTCATGGGATGACTGGGGCCAAATTCTTGAGCAATACAAATAATATGCTCAGGAGTATACAGTAGAGGAAATGTGGGCATCATGAAGAGTGAGCTGCATTCAGCAAGCTTGAGGGTCATCCCTTTGTAAAATCTGGATAGTGATATCTGGGTAGAATTTACTTGGGGTTTGAGTACCACCCATTGTCCAATCCCTTGTCTTTTTTGAAAGTCTCAGAAATGTCATGCCATTACTTGCATATTGGAAGTAAAAGTGCCAGCGATGGTAACCATATTACAATGAGATCAAATTAGTTATACAACATGGTGGGAATGCAATCAGCAACACGTTGGTTAATTTTCAGCCAGTGGTGCTTTTGTGCAACCTAGTTTCTTCAACATGAAAAGGGAGAATGAGTTGTTTAGGTGGAACAGGCAGGATGTAGGAAGCAACTGATGACCTCAGCTCCTGCTTGCTAGTTGTATCTTTGCCTATGCAGCCTTGCACGGTGGGCCTTGTGGTACAGTAGACTAGAGCCCATAGATACTAAAAAACATGCTGAATGACTGGTCCAAGTTTAGGTTTTCTTTTGTGTCTTCTTGATGACCAATGATAGTATAAGCTGTTTTTACCTTTCAGAATGTGGATAATACTTAATGTTGTTTATGAGGGATCACAGTTTAATGCTAGAGCAGGATCGATCAGACGTTATGGAAATCTTACAGATTTTTTAAGGCATGCACATTCCAAACCACTGAATCACAATCCTCAGTGTAAACACTTGAACCTATTATTGTTTTACATTCCATTGATTTTTTTTTTTTTTGCTATACTGATTTCTCTAGCACACATTTCATGGGAACTGTATTTTCTCATGGTAATACATATATGGGTACATATATTCACTTATAACAATATTCAAGATGAAAAACTTGTTAGAAGCAGGCTAGGTTATCCAAAATTCAACATAAACATTATAAATTGTTTGGTTAGTTGGCCAAAAAAGTCTTTTAACTTTCTTGTTTCAAAATTGCTCTTTAAAATTTTATATTAACACAAAGAGAATAGATTTCATAGATAAAATCTAAGAAAATCACCGTTCTTCCCTCTTTTCTTCAGTCTCTTCTCCTTCTTTCCTTCCTTCTTTTCTTCCTTCCTTCCTTCCGTCCTTCAGACTAGAGACGGTCTCCCCATGAAACTGTTGAACTTATCTGGACAATAAGATGCTGGACTCTGTGCTTTGTAGATGCTTGCAAGGAAAGAATCTCAACTAAATTTGAACTGTGGTAATGCGACAAGATGGAAGAATCCACCATGGGGGGGAGCAGGTTTTGGGGAGGGGAAGGGGGAATCCCAGTGCCTGTAAAACGGTGTCACATAGTGCGGTGTAATCAATTAAAAAAAAAAAAAAAAAAAAAGCAAGCAGAGATTAGGATTGGGAGCTGTAGAGTTTCTTATCTCTGATTTTTTTTTGTCTTAATTTTTCCTGAAACTTTGAAGTGAATTTGTTGCCAAGGAAAAGCAGCTGTGTTATCCCTTCTACTAAATACAAACTCTGAGTAAAGCAAAAAAAAAAAAAAAAAAAAAAAAAAAAATTATATTAACACAAAGAGAATAGATTTCATAGATAAAATCTAAGAAAATCACCATTCTTCCCTCTTTTCTTCAGTCTCTTCTCCTTCTTTCCTTCCTTCTTTCCTTCTTTCCTTCCGTCCTTCCTTCCTTCCTTCCTTTTTTTTCCCTTTAACTGCTGCAACAATGTGATTTTCAGCTTACTGTAGAATCACAGGCTTAATGTACTACTAACCACACTGTTCCTTTACCCTTATAAACTTATCTGGTGGTGGTGAGTTGTTGTTAGTGGTGGTCTCTAGTTTTAATGACTTAAGCAAAATTGCTATTTCTAAAATTTTGTCTACCAAATCATCTATTAAGTCATTCCAGTGTGTGATATAGTTCATTAGTCTAAGTATAGAATTGTCTTTTCTCATTCCTCTCTCTTGCTAATGTTATCCACAGGGTGATAAAGGAGAAGCTGGAGCCACAGGAGAAGTTGGAAGCAGAGGCGCTCCCGGAAAAATTGGGGAAAATGGTCCTAAGGGTGCCAGAGGAACTAGAGGTGCTGTGGTCAGTATTTGGTTTGTTTCCAGAACTGAGTCACTGTGGATGGAAAATAATTGTATCCAGTGGCCTTAAAGTTTCATCCTGTGATGGACTTCACAGAGAAGGCAGTAGTTCCATTGAAACTAATCTACCTCCAAGGGATGTGCGGAGTTGTAAGCATTCCACAGTACTTAAATGACTTAGTGGTTTCTGGACATGAAAAAGGAAAGGGGGAAAGATGAAAATGGAAATAAAATTTGAAACAAGGTTTGAAAAATAAGATTATGACTTCTAACCTAAGTAGTAGGAAAATTTATATACCGAGCAGTTAAACTCAAGATGCCACAGTTGACAAATTGCCCTGAAAATTAGGTTTACTTGAAATCAGTTTTCTTCTTTTGCTTCAATTCTACCTGCTTTATCTAAAGGTTTTTTTCTAACCACCAGTGATAAATTTCCTTAGTCTCTAATTATATCTTTAATCACTTGCATGAACATTGCAGAGTGTTGGAAAAGGTGTGAAGGATATTTCTGAATCCATAGTATCTCAATTATTTTGCTAGTATGTTTGGATCTGTTTGGAATGTCACAGAAAAAAATAATCCAAAATATCCTTAAATGATCTGATTTGATCTTCTGTCCTATATAAACTTATCCGCCAAATACATATGTATGTTCTAGTTCTCATTTACATTTTTTAAGATTTACTGGTTTTGTTAGAAAGGCAGATATACAGATAGACGAGATCTCCTGTCTGCTGGTTCAATCCCTGAGTGGCCACAATGGCCAGAGCTGAAGCCAGAAGCCAGGAGCCAGGAGTCTCCTCCAGGTCTCCTATATAGGCACAGGGTCTCAAAGGCCTTGGGCCATCCTCTACTGCTTTTCCAGGCCACAAGACTGGGAAGTAGAGAAGCCAGGACATGAACAGGCACCTACATGGGACCCAGGTGTGTGCAAATTGAGGACTTGGCCATTTGAGCCATCCTGCCTGGGTGCTCCCCAGGCTTCATTTAAATGTTGCAAATTCAGCAAGACCTTTTGAAGACAGTTGTATAATCCATTTGTTGTAAGGAAGGTTGCCTTGGATTTAATTTAAGTATTTCATTTCTGGGGCAAGCGTTTGGCTCAATGGTTAAGACCCCAGTTGGGACACTTTTAGCACATATTGTATAACCTTGGTTTAGTTTTTTCTATGCTCATGATTCCTGCACCCTGCTAATACACAATCTGGGATGCAGTAGGTGATATCTCAAGTGCTTGAGTCCCTACCCCACTCACATGAGAGATCCTGGATTGACTCCTTGGATACAGATTTCAGCCTGCCCCAGCACCAGCTACTACAGGCATTTGGAGAATTACCTAGAAGACAGAAGATACATTTTTCTCTCTCTCTCCCCCACTTTTTATCCTGCAAATATATAGAAAGTTTAAATACTAATAAAATGAAAAAATAAGTTCCCTAAATTTGTTTAAAATTTAAGAATTTATTCTGTTAATCAACTTACTACACCGGGGCTTTCTCACTTTCCACATATGCCTGGACTTCAAAAATATTTGCACCAAAACAAACTTATTTTTAAATTTAATTTTCCACAAACATAAAGCAGTGCCCTTGTGTTGTTTTTTGTTTGATTGTGTTTTGGTTTGTTTTTGTTTTTTGTTTTTGTCTTTGACCTGTATTCAGAACTTTATTTTAGGTGAATATTTTACAAAACATAAAAGGCTTGGCATAGCAAAATAGCAGATAAACCCACCACCTTCTCTTTTTCCAATCCAGCTGCTGTTCATGTGCAGCAGGAAAGCAGGAAAGAATGTCCCAAAGGCTTGGGCTCATTTTTTGAGCTCACATTTGTTAAGGCCAGAAAAAGCTCCTGGCACCTGGCTTCAGATCTGTGTACCAGAGGGTGGAAACATCTTTCTGTCTCTTTCTATGCCCTAAACTGTGAACTGTGACTTTCAAATTAATAAGTAAATCTTTTTTAAAAAATGAGAACTGTTATAGCCGAAGAATACAAAGAATACTATTTTCAAAGTAAATACTTACATTGGATTTTTGCTATTAAAGTACTCAATTTTTAAATTCTGGCACGTGCCCCAAACTATGCTCCTAAGAAGTTTCACTGACTTTAAACTCCCACTTCTAACTTTTCCTGATAATCTATCGGTATTTGCCTGCATAATTAATTAGAAATGTATCACCTCTTTCTATTTACATTTCTTTATTTTCCTTTGACATTTGACTATACAAGTTTTACTATTAGGTGTAGTCTGTTTCTTGTTGAACTGCTGCCACTGCTTATGTATTTTAAATAATATAGTTTCATTCAATATACTGCAAAATGTATTACAAATGTTTCCTCCTCTGCCATTTATCTTTTAATTTTGCTTGTGATATCTTTTTCTGTAGAATAGTTTAGTGTTTAGTCTCAAACGTGTCGGGGAGACACAGGGGTAAGCGTTGACTCCTGACTTTGGCCAGGCCCAACTCTGGCTTCTGCTGTACAGATTGTGAGTTTCTTCACAATTTCTTCATTACAAATGCCATCTCTACCTAAAGTATGTAGAATTATTCTTCAATATTCTTCTCCTAATACTTTCATAGCCATATTTGTACTCTGAAGTCCATAAGGCATATAGAGTTTACTTTTTTTGTTGTTACATGAGCTGGAAAAGACTAATTTTCCTCTTTTCAGATTGATGATTTTCTCAATTCCGCTTCTTGAACAGCTGTACTATCTCCCGTTTGTTTTTCTTCCACGCTACCTTTTCCATTAAGTAAGCCCCCAAATATTCACTGATCTTTTTTCATTCTGTCTACTCTCAGTTGTCGTCTGAGTCAGTAACAGCCTATTTTTATTATTATATTGTTGTACTATCTTCTGAGAGTGGCTAGAGCAAACATTCTGTTTCCATTTGTAATAAGGTTTGGCTGGTGACTAGTTTTCAGCTTTTTTCTAAAAGGTTATCTATTTATATAGAGTTTCAAAGTTGGTGGCTGAAAGTTCTAATTACCATGTTTTCATTTTTAAACGTTTTTCTGTGGTTAAGTCCTGATGATATTCTTTCATGCCCAATCTCTTTCTTGATCAGATTTGCCAAATATTTAGCTAAATATAGCAAAAAATACTTTGACTCAATTTTATGGCTTTTTTTATGGATTTATGCTTTAATATTAGTTTCTGTCTCTTGAGCTCATTTTAAGATTCTTTTTATATCTTGTTGAATTGAAATGAAATACAATGAAAGCTGCATTAATGAAATAAATACCCATGTCACTTTTTTCCTTAATTTATTCAACAAATGCATATGAAGCTACCTGTTTCCTTTTGAGAGACCACTTCAGCCATCTTTCTGTTAATATTTTCACTATCATTCATTAAAACGGGCTTTTAATTTAAGATTTTATTTTTTTCCTTAGCTATAGTTTGTAAGTAGATATTTTGGTGCATAGTATTCATGTCTAGAGAATGTGGTTTTTACTTTAAGAAACTTTGTTGAAATTTTCTTTGAACAGTGGCACAGTGCATTAATCCTCCACCTGTGGCACCTGCATCCCATATGGATGCCAGTTCTTGTCACTGTTGCTCCACTTTCAATCCAGCTCCCTGCTAATGGCCTTGGGAAGCAGTATATGATGATCCAAGGCCTTGAATCTCTGTACCCATGTGAGAGACTCAGGATAAGTTCCTGGCTCATAACTTTGAACCAGTCCAGTGCTGGCCATTGCAGTCATTTGGAAAGTGAGGCAGCAAATGAAAGATTTCTGTCTGTAACTGTCAAGTAAAAAAAATAAATAAACAAATCAAAAAAGAAGGTGGGAAAGGAAGCAGATAGAATCTGAGCAGTGCAACTCTGTCTGCCCTATAAGGCAACCTTTTTTTTTTTTTTTTTTTTTTTTTGTAACTGAAAAAGAGCCTGGTGTTGTGGCTCAGTGACTAAATCCTTAGCTTGCATGGACTGAGATTCCATAAAGATGCCAGTTCCTGTACTGGCTGCTCCACTTCCCATCCAGCATTCTGCTTGCAGCCTGAGAAAGCAGTTGAGGATGACCCAAAGCTTTGGATCCTTCACCTGCATGGGAGACCTAGCCAAGAAGCTCCTGGATCCTGACTTTGGATCAGCTCAGCTCTGACCATTGTGGACCAGTGGATGGAGGATCTTTCTGTATCTCCTTCTCTCTGTAAATCTGCCATTCCACTAAAAATGGATAAATCTTTATTTAAAAAATCTTTGAGGCCTGTGACATACACAAGTATCATCCAAACACTGGACTTTTTTAAATGTGGGTGAGTCCACGATTCCATGTATTTTTATTAGACCAAGCTTTTTAACTTAGTTGCTCAAGTCCTTACACCTCTTACTTTTTTTCCTCCTCCCTTACTTGATTATTTTGTTTCTGACAGATTTCTGAGATCTCCCCATCAATGGTAATTTCTTCACACTTACTGTTTGCATACTGCATATTTTATATAATCTTGGGTTCATTAAGATTCCTATTTTTGGTGTGAATCTCAAATTTGTTCTGTGTGTAATCGATCCTATTCTGTCCATTTTTGGACTCAGCCACAACTTTCTTCATTGCCTGCTTTTCTGACCATAGTTCCCAAACTCACTCATTATTCAACCTCTAAGGCAAATGTTGCTGCTCTCAAAAATCTAGCACAAGTTTTGGAGTGAGACAACATTCTGCCTCTTCTCCCTGGTTGGTCATGATGAATCTAACTTGATTCTCTTTGAAACTTCTTTGAGACCATTTTCACAACAGCAAGAATTCTCTTTACATATTTTCAGCTCCATTTTTATGCCTCAAATCACAAAAGTTGGTCCTCTGATTATATTGACTTTTTGCCAATATTATTACAGGTGAACAAGCAAATAGCCTCTCTCTCTCTTCCTCTCTCTTTAGTGAAACAGGCATATGTCATGAAGCAAGGGGAAACTTCGGTCACTTTTCTGATATTCTTAAAATATCTACTTTTATTTTCTTTGAAGGCACGGAAACAGAGAAAAGGGGAAACAGGAACAGAGATCTTACGTTCACTGATTCACTTCCCCAAATGCCTAAAATGAACCAAACTAAAAGTAGGAACCCAGAACTCAAATCTGGGTCTTCCAACTAGGTGTCAAGATACAAGTTACTTGAACCATCATCTGCTGCCCCCAAAGAATGCACATTAGTAGGAAGCTGAAATAAATGAACCTGTGCCCAAACTTGGGCATTCCTGTATCGGATGTCAGCATCCCAAGGTAGCACATTAATAACTTCCCCAAATACCTCTCACCTAATTTTTTTTTAGTTGATTTTGTGCCTTTCTTTTCTTAGTCCACAATTTGATCTTAACTGAAATAAGATGAGATATTATTTTATGTTTTTCCTTTCATATTAAGAATTTCTAAAGGCACACCAAGTCACATTTGGTGGGAATATAAAGTATTGTAATCATTATGGAAGACAGTATTAAAATTCCTCAGGTATAGGAGATTAGATATTCCATATAACCCTGCCATCCCACTCCTGAGAATTCATCCAAATGAAATGAAGTCAGCATATGGAAGAGTTATCTGTATTAATCTGTTACACCAGCTCAATTCACAATAACACAGATAGGGAATCCACTCAGATGTCCATCAGTTGATGACTAGATTATCAAAGTGTGGCATCTATACCTTATGGAATACTCGGTCATTAAAAAAAAATGAAGTCTTTGTCTTTTGCAACTAAATGAATGCCACTGGAAACATGTATACTTACTGAAATAAGCCAGTTCCCCCCTACAAAAAAGCATTATATGTTTTCCCTAATCTGTGATAGCTAACACACAGTTCAAAAAGTTTAATCGATCGGTGGGAGAATGACATTCTGGAACCTGATGAATGTGTGCAGCCTTTGTTTGTGCTCCTGAGGAACAGTAGGGTTTTGTGGTTATTGCTCTTTGTTATTAGTTTCTATCTTACATTGTGTTGATATCTTTACCCAATGAAGTGTTAAACTTGTGACTGAAAAGTGGAATGAAAGTGTGCTATTAGAATGGTGGACTGTTTATGAAGGACTATACTATTGTAATAGAGGAACTAAGTAGTGGGGAGGGGATTTGAGGAGGGGATGAGGGAAATCCTGGAGCTTATGGAACTTTACCATAAAAAATATGATTAAAAAAATTTTTTTTAAGTTTAAAAATGCTATTGTAAAAGCTAGAACAAAAAAAAAATGAAAGGGAGGAAGCTGAGTGAGAAATAGGGCTGGGAAGCACCACTGAGCTCCTAGATTTCTATTGTGATGTACATGCAATTTATCCACTTTGGATAAATTTTTAAAAAGTGGAGCATGGCACTATAGCATATAGTTAAAGTCCTCGCCTTGAATGCACTGGGATCCCATATGAGCACCGGTTCTAATCCCAGCAGCCCCACTTCCCATCCAGTTCCCTAGCTATTGTGGCTGCTTGGGGAGTGCACAATCAGACGGAAGATATTCCTCTCTGTCTCTCCTCCTCTCTGTATATCTGCCTTTCCAATAAAAAAATAAACAAATCTCTATTTTAAAAATGTACTATAGTTGCTTAATAATCTTTGATTGTTTAAAAGTGTATGTGAGTGAAATGGATATTGTTCAAATTATGTTTATAGTCTTTTTCAAAATTCCCACTTTTTCTTTGTGCTTGCTAAACTTCTTTGGTTTAGTATCAAACTTTTTTGCAATAATGTAAATTTAAAATATGTTATCTCAAAAACTAAAAAAAGAAAGAAAAAAAGACAGTAAAGGGAGAATGGAGAGAGGGACAGAAAGGGAGGCAGGGAGAAAGCAGATGATTCAAGTACTTAAATCCTTGACGTATGAAAGACCAGGTTGAGTTCCGGTTTCCTATATTTGGTTTGGCCCAACCCTGACTATTGTAGGCATTTAGGTGAGTGAACCATTAGAATTGTATTTATGAACTATATTGAATCTATTTAAAACTAATTAAAAATGTGTAAAGTGAAAAAAAGTATTTCAAAACATGGAAATGTAAAGGTAACAATTTAAATTTTAAAAATGCAAGTCTTTTTAAAGATTTATTTATTTTTATTGGAAAGTCAGATATACAAAGAGGAGAGACAGAGAGGAAGATCTTTCATCCGATGATTCACTCCCCAAGTGACCGCAATAGCTGGTGCTATGCCGATACGAAGCCAGGAGCCCAGATCCTCTTCTGGGACTCCCATACAGGTGCAGAGTCCCAAAGCCTTGGGCCATCCTTGACTGCTTTCCCAGGTCATAAGAAGGGAGCTGGATGGAAAGCAGGGCTGCCGGGATTAGAGCCAGCATCCGTATGGGATCCCTGTGTGTTCAAGGCCAGGACTTTAGCTGCTAAACCACGACACTGGGCCCAAGAAATACAAGTTTAATAATTTCCATGATTATCTGTTTTCTAGTTCATTGATATGTACCTTCCCCTTATAGGGTCCCGTAGGATTGATGGGACCTGATGGAGAGACCGGAATTCCAGGATATAATGTAAGCATTTCTAGTTGAAAAAAAAATGGTTTAACATGACAATATTTATAGCAAAGGTAGTATTCTTGCTATGCAAATTAAGATGAGATTTCCTTAATAAATCTTTCTGACATGTTTAGTCTTACCCCCCCTATAAAATGAATACTGTTTTTCATTGCATAGTGGTTCAATATCTGACAGAATGGACTGACTGACCTTGGGTAAAACATGCTTAAAGGAAGTAAAGAATGTCTAATTGTCATTTTGTAGGGCCATCAAGGTCAACCAGGACTGTCTGGGTTACCAGGACCTAAAGGGGAGAAGGTTTGTGTATATATGCATTGACTTTTAATCCTAAACATTTGATTTATGAATTCTTTCTAAAAGAAGCTCTTCTTGGGTCGGATATTTTTCAAAAAATATATAAATATCAAGGAACTGAATTTCGAATGAATTAAAATATCTTCCATGGGAAATTTCATAACTGAGATGAAATAATATACATGAAATGGCTTAAAGTCTATATAACTTAAATTGCTAGGTTAAATTTTAAATCTCCAGGTTAAAGTTATGTATTTATTTGTTTGAATGACAGAGACTTAAAGCTCTTATCCACGACTTTACTCCCTAAATGTATGCAGTGGCCGGAGCCAGGACACACCATGGCCTGCAGCCACGAATTCAAATTCAGGTTTCCTTTCACATGGGTAGCAGGAACCTACATATTTGAGTCATTACCACTGTCTCCCAAGCTCTGTGTTAACACAAAGCAAGAATTAGGAGCCAGAGTCGGGACGGCGCTATGATGTGGGACTCACGTATCCTCAACCAGTGCCTTTGACCAGTAGGCTTGACATCAACCAGCTGAGTCTCTTTACATATGCAGCAGACTGACATATGCAAGAAATATGTATAAATTCTAACTATGTATGAAACATCTCCTGCTTAGTTTCTTAGGAAAAATTTTTCTCTTCAGAAAGAAAACCAAGTAGGATATTTCTTAACAAATTGGAAAAATATGGGGTGCATATTTTTTAAATTATTCTTTTAGCTTGATTTTATTTATGAACCAGTTTTTTCATTTTAGGGTTACCCAGGAGAAGATAGTACAATCCTAGGACCACCTGGACCTCGAGGTGAACCAGTAGGTCTTATCTAAAATTATTTTGATGCTTTAAGATGTTATATAATTATTATAATAAGTTTATAGCACTAATCATCTTTTCAAGAATTTTATTTCACAAGTTTTATTAATTTTCTGGTGTGATTCTGATTTTTAGTACATGTTAGAACTAGTTATTTTGAACAGTTTATCATAACAAGATTTTACGATAGTAAAAAGTTAAGGTCAGTTTATATGTTAAGGGTTGAGTTAATAAGTACACTTTATTAAATTAGCATAAGCCTTGAAAATTTAAAATTTCCCAGATAAGAGAATAAGCAATGGACATTCCATTGAAGAAAATAAACTGTTAAATACTTTTAAAATGATCATTCAAATATTCTAGATCACTGATGGAATTAAGTAAGTAGCTAAATGGTCATAAATCTTTTTCAATCATTTTAACATCAAATAAAGTATACATTTCTTTGGAATCATTTATAAAAAAAACTGTAGTCATCTAAAAATTCATATGTTTTAACAAACTTTATTTCTTAAACATTTTCCTACCAGAATCATTGTGAGGTTATATTTATATAGACCAGGGCTTAGCATATTTTGATGATGTTGTTGATGTCATTGAAATTCAGTCTTCTGACATTATTTAGTGGAACTAGATACATTATTGTACATTTTATTTTATGGTTCTTTTTGGTAAAAGGATTAGCCACACTAACTTTGTCATCCTCACTCACTAATACTTAAGTCCAACTGTGCAATTGTTTTTGTCTGTGGTCCTTATAGGGTCCAGTAGGGGAACAAGGAGAGAGAGGAGACTCTGGAGCAGAGGGCTATAAGGTAATTACTCCAGATTATACACCTGGCTTCTAATTGAGTAGAGTTCTCTGGTTCTGCTCAAATTCAGATGAAAACAGGCATTAATAATGTTTCATAATATCCTAAGTTTTTGATCCTAAAGTTAGTCTAGCTGTTTCTAGCTTGTGGTCCTTTCACCTAAAACCATCATTGTGTGTTGCCCTTCTTGCTTTTTTCTCATCATTCGGATATGAACAGAAACTTTACCTCCTGAGATGGATACTCTGCCTTGTCTGTGATGGGTCTATAACTACCACCTGTATCATACCAGATTTCCTTAACAATATTTAATATTGCATTATAATCGTTTAATATTTCTGTTTCTTTATTGCCTCTTCATCCACCAAAATGTAGGATCTATATAAATAAAAATTTTATCTATTATTCATCATTGTATCCCCAACTTCTACAACACAAAGTGTCTGATATGTGGTAGAAATTTAATATTTTGTCAGATGAACAAAATACCATTGTACTCTCACGATTTAGTGGTTCATATTCTCTTCTATTGCTTAGGAAGTTTTTACAAGACCCATCTACTGAATTATATGAACTGTGTGTGGAGTGTATTGTCATTTTTTGTAATCTTGTTTGTGCTGAAGATGTTCTGTATTCTAGCCTTGTATTTTCCTCTTCTCTGTCCATTTACAATGTCGATTGCTAAACAAAATGTTGTCTACTAACTCCTTATTGCTCCTATCTGATTCTTCTGCTCATACTCTTTATCTGTTCACAATATTATACAATCTTTACCCACATAAATACTATCTGTCTTTTACAAATTTACTGGAACTTCTTTTTCCCTGATCCACTCTAACAGCAATCTTGCCCTCTTCTAAACTCCTAAGCTATTTCTTATAAAAGTGGTTCAATGCAAATATTATACATGTGCTGCTATGGTTTTCTTTTATTGCTAATTGGTCTTTGATGTGCAGATGTCTTAATGCCCTATTTTGAATATAACTTCTTTTTTTCTTATACAGTGTCTGGTGCTAAACCTGCACATACTATGTTTCTGATGATTTGTGGATTAGCTGATCAATACATCCTTGTCTCAAGACAAAATTTCTGTGATCATGTCTGAAATGCATATTACATTAGCTAGACATCAGGGCAGTCTGAAAGAAAGATAAATGTCATTTATAAACTGACTTTTAAGGACAATGAAATCTGAAAAATTAATTTTTACTTCCTAAAGTTCTCATTGACCAAATATTAAGCATAGCTCTTAATACTTGTGAAATTATTTTAATGGCTTTTTCATATCTATCTTTTTTTATTAAACAAACATTTTAGAAGTTAATTTATGTTTTATTTCTATTTTACATGATATTTGCATCTACAAGTCTTTTCTAACCCAAGTTATCCAGTAAATTTACTTAAACTTGTGTCTTTATTTCTATTTTGTTTTTTTGTTGCTATCCAGATGCTTCCAGAGCAACTTAAAAATCTTCTGAAATGTCATCAACTTTATCTGTGCATTTCATTTCACACAATCCCAGGAAAATTAGGTTCTTTTTATTTTTAACATTTATTCATTTATTTTAAAATTGAGAGTTACAGAGAGAGAGAGAGAGAGAGATGAAGAGAGACAAAGAGAGAAAACTGGTTCCTTCCCTCGATGGCCACAGTGGCCAGCACTGGGATAAACCAAAGCCTGGAGCCAGGAGAATTATCCAAGTCACCCACCTAGGCAATAAGGACCCAAACACTTAGGCTGTCTTTGCTGTTTTTCACAGGCCGTTAGCAGGGAGCTGAACTGGCAGTAGAGCAGCCAGGACTCTCTATCCAGGGCCAATATGGGATGACAGCATTGCAATCCCTGGCTTTGCATGCTGCACCACAGAGCTACCACCCCAACCCCCAATATTTTCTATGACCTGTACCAATTTCAAAATATCTCGTGGCTCAGTCAATGTAATTGTTTGCAAATGGGCAGTTAACTATTTCATTTAGAGGAAGAAAGTATCTTTTGACCTGTGTAGCGGAAGGGAGCCAGGAGTTTGTTATTCTAGACAGGCGTTCTTCAGAAATCCCTCATCAGAGGGAACTGCTCCCTAGGCTCACGGCAGAATCCTTCCTTCTCTGACGTATACTCCTGAAAAAGCCATCAGTTGTAGACATTTTGTGCGCCAGTTTAATCCACATCTTCCTTTCTGTCTGATTTCATCTTAAGTCTTTAGGTTTTACCAGGATTTTTATCATTCATTTTTGGTTCTGCTCCAAACTGTCAGCCAGCTAGTGCCAGAAAGCCACATTATAATTACATTACTTCAATACTTGAGAGTCACATTTATCCCCAATCCAGTTTTTTTAAGCATGGATATGTTTTTATACAAGGAAATCATGTTTTATGTAGAGTTAAGTAATCGCATAATAGCTTACCACCAAATTTTTAAAGTTGTGCCTAAGAATAACAAAATTTAGCATTAGGAATGTACAACTCAGTGACATTTAGTACATTCACATGGTTGTATATAAGACAGAAAAATATATCTTTCTCTACTGCCCTTCTAAATTCTTGTCTGGAATTCCTATAACAAGACAGATAAGCAAAAGGAAAGCCTAGGTATTTATTTACTGTCAATTTTTTTAAAGATTTATTATTATTTTTTTTTATTGGAAAGGCGGATATACAGAGAGGAGAGACAGAGAGGAAGATCTTCATCCGATGATTCACTCCCCAAGTGAGCGCAATGGCCGATGCTATGCCGATCTGAAGCCAGGAGCCTCTTCCAGGTTTCCCATGCAGGTGCAGGGTCCCAAAGCTTTGGGCCGTCCTTGACTGCTTTCCTGGGTCACAGGCAGGGAGCTGGAAGGGAAGCGGGGCTGCCGGGATAGAACTGGTGCCCATATGGGATCCTGGGCGTGCAAGGCGAGGACCTTAACCACTGCACCACCGCGCCGGGCCCTATTTACTGTCAATTTTATGAGACATGGGAACTTTCATAAGGAAATGAAAATCTAAAAGAACAGTTAAACTTGACTGTTTGTATGTTACAACTGATGAAGAGTGGAGGGTGATGAATGAGTGATGGAAGATGGAAAGTGATGGAAGAATGCAATCGAGCAAAAATATGAACCAAGATTAGTGGAATAGGGAAACCAAGGAGGTCTCATTCGTTCAGATTCTTCCTGTGTCACTTCACCTTAAGAGCAAAGTACTCCTTTATACTCAGTTGGGGCTTGGGAGAGGTGCCCTCTTCAAGGGAAGTTCAAAAAGGTTTTCCTGTACATGGTGCTTCTCAGATTTTCTCAGCCCAAAATAGTCAGTAATCCTAAATGCCGTATTTGGTGATGGTATGTCTTGAACCTATTCATGTGCAAGCATCGTTGTACTCAAGTTCCAGAATATTTTCTTCACTTCCCAGCAAGTTAGCCTCCTACCCATTAAGCAGTCATTCTCCGCTACTCCCAGCCCCTGGCAACCACTATGTTGTCTCTATTGATTTGTGTATTCTGGATATTTTGTGTCAGTGCAATCTTAAAATATCCAGTTTCTCAGGTCTATTTTCTTTCACATGGGAAAGCTTCTCTTAGTTGTAGAGTGTTAATATTTTATTCCCTCTTATAGATAAAAAATCACCAATGTTTTATTTTAAAAATGTGTATTTTATTTGTTTGAAACTCAGAATTCCTGAGAGCAAGGGAGAAACTGATTCACAAGTTCATTTCCACTGGTTCACTTCCAAGATTACCTCAATTTCCAGAGCTGGACCAGGCCAGAGTCAGGAGCCAGGAGCTTCTTCTGGGTCTCCCTAATTGCTGGTAACAGCCCAGACCTTTGGACCATCTACCATTACTTTTTTCAGGCCATTAGCAAGGAGTTAGTTGGGAATTAGAGTATGGCATATGGTACCTTATGGAATGTAGGTTTCACAAGTAGTGGCTTTACCCAATATGCCACAATGCCATCGCCAAACACCGAACTTTTTAATATTTTTACATTCACAAACATCTTTACATTTGTAGTGAACTTGTAATTATCCTATAAGACACATTTTTCCACTATGCTTTGTTTTTGCTTCCTTTAACTAAAATGACAGATTTATATAAAATTGTGTCATGTATATGTTCTCAGATTTTCTCTGCCCAAATATGTATGTGTGTGTGTGACAATTATGTGTCATGTATGATAAAAATTTCTACAAATTCAGTTTCTGGTCATGTCATCATAGACACCAGGAACAAAGACAGATGACTTAGATATAACACAAGATTACCCTTGACAGTCTGTGCCCCAGTAGACATAACATCAATAAGACACAGTAAGAATACTTAATCATTGTAGAAATAGACATAGTGGGTTTTAACTACCATCCATCAAAGCCCATGTCACATAGATCAAGAGAAATTGATTTTAATCATAAAAGTCCAGTTCATGTGGGAAATAGCTTATTATCCTGTCAACATCTAATTTTTAAAGATTGAACAAGAGCACACAAATACTGATATTAAATCAAACTGAATTCACATGAAAGGAAGTCCAAAAATAGATTGAATAAATCATTTTGCATCTCAAATTCTTTCAACTTAGGTTTAGCAAAGTCACTACAATTTTTTACAGACAATAAAATCCCTGTATTGTTCTAGTTTTAGTATCTGTGCTGCTGCAGTGAGCGCCACACACAATAAAATAAGCGCTATTAATCCCCATTTGGCCTTTACTCCATAGCCTCGGACATGCATATCCACATGCTATATTGATCATCATCACAGGCACTTTGTGTTCAGTATATTCCAAACCATAACTTCCAAGCCAAATTTTTCCCAAATTTGATCTCTTCCTCTACATGTTATGTCCTCAATGTTAGTGAATCCAAGCAGGTGTTTACATGAGCAAATAAAATCTCTTTCTCCCCTCCACAACCCTTTTGTGTTTATCTTTTTCCCCTATGCTGGTCTCCCACATAAGTCTACCACTTATTTTGCCATTCAAACATATTTGGAATCTAGCCACATTACCCTATATTAGTTCAGAATTTCACCATGTTTGCCTAAATTGTTATTATAGCTTGCTGAACAGGTTCTGTCTCATCATAGCTTTCTCAAATCCATGCTTCACCTACTGTCTTCTTTCAGATGGCTGAATATTTATTCTTCGTGATATTGCCCCAAGCACAACATTCTTACTTTAGTACCAGGAATACCAGTCCTTCAAGATTGAACTATCACTTCTGTTACAAAATTCTCAACAAGCTTCTCTAGCTAGCTTATCCCACCATAATATCAGACAAGACCTGTCATTTCCCATACCTTCCCCTGAAAAAAACAAACTTTATAATAATATTCATTGTAGCACATCTAACTTTTTCTTGTTATATATTATACATTTTGATTGGGGTGAAATAAACCAGCATCAGTGCAACTGCTGAAAGGTTTGTCTGTGAGATTTGTTCTAGATTTCACAAAGCCAAGAGTGGCAATTGCTTGATCACTCTGAAAAGGGTTCTGTTGTACAACAGAGAAGTCTGATGGCAAATTATAATTGGCCATGCTATTCTCACTTCACTTGAAGATTCTAGTTTCTTTTTATCAGCCACTTCTCCCCTAAGTGATGTTTAGTAAGCAGCCAGCATGTAGTCATATTTACTCATACCATATTCCCCCCTGATTGGCTAGATTCTGGTATTTACTGACCTGTCTCATGTTTTTTGCTGAACGCCATTTATGCTAAGGGATTTTTCCCTTTGTGTGGCCATGTGATATATTGAAAGCTTTCTAAAACAGTCTTTCTCACTCATCTAATTTTCATTAATGGGATTTATTTTCTCTACCCGGAAGTTGAAACTTAAAACTGTAAATATTTGCCTCAGAGAATTCAAACAAGGCTTCAGATGACATTTCTGTGGCAATATTGTTGGCTTTTATATGCAATTCCTTCTCTTAACTCAAAAAAAAAGGAGATGAACCTGATAGCTATATTTCCTCATGCATCCTTTCTATAATATACATGTGAAGAGTAGGAAGGAAGAATTTGGACAAATAGGACAATAAAGAAGGAGGAAAAGGAGATTACGTATTGAATTCTTACCGCGTAACTCTCATCTCATGCCCCCTTTGTTTTTCCTAGTTTCTGTTTACACACTTAAAAAGGGAAATGTGTATGTCAGCATTCCTTCTTAGAAAAACTCGGATGATAGTTTTCTGCATGTCAGAGTCAACTGCTATTTCTCATTCTTGTATATGGTAACTGTGATCAGTCTTTAGGTCAATAAATCTATACAAGCACCTGTGAAATTCATCCAAACCCTGTTCCTTTGATAATTGATCATTCAGCTGGGTTTTCATATCTGCAGTTTCCACATTCATGCATTCAACCAAGCACAGATGGAAAACTTTTTTTTTAAAGATTTATTTTTATTATTTTTTTTATTGGAAAGGTTGATATACAGAGAGGAGAGACAGAGAGGAAGATCTTCCGTCCCATGATTCACTCCCCAAGTGAGCGCAATGGCCGATACTATGCCAATCCGAAGCCAGGAGCCTCTTCCGGGTCTCCCACGCGGGTGCAGGGTCCCAAAGCCTTGGACCATCCTTGACTGCTTTCCCGGGCCACAGGCAGGGAGCTGGAAGGGAAGCAGGGCTGCCGGGACTAGAACCGGCACCCATATGGGATCCCGGGCGTGCAAGGCGAGGACCTTAACCACTGTGCCACTGCGCCAGGCCCTGGAAAACTTTTTAAATTGTGTTTGCATCGAACAACATGCGAAGCCTGTGTCAATATAGTGACTATTTATATAGATTTTTACATTGTATTAGCTATTTTAAGTAATCAGAGATTGTTTAAAGGAGAGAATATGTGTAGATATATGCAAATGTTACATCATTTTACATAAAGGAATAGTTCATGAGACTACTGTAACAAATTACTAGAAAGTGGATAGCTGAAAACACAAATTTATCCTCCCATAGTTCTACAACCTTAAAGTCTGAAAGCAGGGCATCAGCTGTCCCTTGCCTCCTCCTTGAGTTTCGGGGGAGAATGTTTCCCTGCCTTTACCAGTTTCCTGTGCTGTCACCATTCCTTGCAGCTGCTTCGTTGCAGCCTCTTCCTCTTTGCCTGGTCCCCTCTCTTGTTTGTGTTTTTCTAGCTCCATGTATCTCTTAGAAGGACTCATGTGTGGATGCACAGCCTGGTGGATACCCTAGGTTAATCAATGTGAGATCCTCAGGTTAGGGACATCTGCTAAGAATTCTTCAAACAAGATCACATTCACCAAGTCTACAAGGATATAGACATATTTTTCCAAAGAGTACCATTCAATATGCTATATTAACCATTCAATGTGCATACTGTTAAAAAAATCTTCTATATATTTGTTCTCAATCATACTAACTTATAGCCATTATTGTGTTCTGCCCTATTCCCAAGAATCACAATTTCTTTGATGTTTAAATTGTGTTTTATAAGATTTTGATAGCTTTTTAAGTGGCAGTACTCTATTCTAGAAGTCACATGTATGTTTACTAATATAATCTTCTTTATTCCCTAGGGTCATGAGGGAATACCAGGATTAAGAGGTGCCACTGGACCACAAGGACCCCCAGTACGTTTTGAAAGTATTCTTTATAAATCTAGCATTTTTAAGTTAACAATTTTAAAGATTTGTTTGCTCTCAATTTTGTATGTGAATTCTGTTTTCATTCCTATTCAAGGGTGAGCCAGGTGACCAGGGTGAACAAGGACTAAAAGGAGAAAGGGGCTCTGAAGTAAGTGAAATTCAGACAATTTAAAATTCATTTTGACCTGGGAAAGCAGGAACATGAGAAATTACTATTTATTGTAAATCAAGTTCTCATTTATCCTTTCAGAACAGCAAATCACTGTGGCCTCTAAATATGGTAGTCCTTGGTAATTGTGCTAAAATGTGATTTATTGATCGTTAAATACATTTGACAGTAACCCAAATTTCATTTTTCCGACATCCTTGTTTAACTTTGTGAAAATTGCCTAACACTGTTCCAAAGTATTAATTTGTGTTTGCAGTATCAAACAGAAGCGTGAAACAAACTTAGAACCAACATTGTAAGAATAACAACAACAAAAATAATGTAGAAACCACTGCAGGGGAATCTCATAGGGAGAAAAACTGGGCTAAACTTCAAATACAGCGTGGAGGAATGGAAATTTATAGCCAAGAGCAGGGTGAGATGTTAGTGAATGGAAAAATTACTAAAAAAGAAAATCAAGAATAATGGGGACTCGGCAAAGCCAACCCAACAGGGTTCTTGCTGAGTACAGACCTGTGTGATTGGACATCAGCTGGGAATATGGTGAAGACAACAAACAGCATCAAATATTAAGAATAATTGATTACTGAGAATGCGCAGATCTCAGGAGGAGTGGATTGCTGAACTAACTTAGCAAAGGCCATTATTAAAATTGAAATTTGTAAGGAATTAGACAGATGGGCCTAAAAGAACTTTCAAGAGCCTAACAGTTTGACCCATGGGAAAAATCTGTCATGATGCAGAGTGAAAATAGTTTGACTAAGTGATATAGACTCTTAATTGGCTTCAAAGATCATTTCTACAAGGCAAGTTACTTGGTATCAAGCAGGCTACAAAAATATTCATTTGCTGAATTTTTCTTTTTATTCCCTGTACATCAACAGATATTGCTTCAATCTTGTATAACAATCAACTTCATCATTTACACTATTCGTTCATTGTTGACTTGCTGTTTGTAGCATTAAAGCTGCCCACACTGTTTATGGTAAACCAAATTCTTAAGAAAATGTGCTGTAGTTTAATGCTAGATTTTATGAGAATGCATAAAAAGTAATGAATTTGAGATCATGTTTCTTGCACTTTATTAAACTCTCTTCACCTATACTTTTGTTTCTCACTTGTGAGAAAAAAAAATGAAATTGAACCAGATATATTTAAGTGGACTTTCACTTATTTTAAACCCATTTTGAATAACCTTGTCATCTGTCCAATAATTCTGGTTAATTCCTTAATAGGAATTCATAAATAATAAGTTATAGTAACTTGTTGAAGTCAACCCTAGACAAGAAAACAATACAGAGACAGAGACAAAAAGCAGTTTTTGCATTCAGTTAGAATTTTTAAGATAAAAAATAGAAAAGGTTATAGAATAAATTGTGACTCTAGACACTGCAGCTGCAAACATGTTACTTCTGTATATTCACATTCCATACCTCAGAATGCAAGAGTGCTCCCAAGAGTTGATCCTAAAGGCCTAATCTTTTACAATCTGTTCCTTCCTGTTTACAGAATTGTCTTTTTCCTCTCTGATGTATCTCAGGAGGAAGAAATTGTTTATGCTTATTAGTAATTATCCCTATTTTTCTTTAAAGATTTATTTTTATTATTTTTTCATTGGAAAGGCAGATATACAGAGAGGAGAGACAGAGAGGAAGATCCTCCGTGCAATGATTCACTCCCCAAGTGAGCGCAACGGGCTGATACTATGCCAATCCGAAGCCAGGAGCCTCTTCCGGGTCTCCCACGCGGATGCAGGGTCCCAAAGCTTTGGGCCGTCCTTGACTGCTTTCCCGGGCCACAGGCAGGGAGCTGGAAGGGAAGCAGGGCTGCCGGGATTAGAACCGGCGCCCATATGGGATCCTGGGCGTGCAAGGCGAGGACCTTTAACCACTTGCGCCACCGCGCCAGGCCCAGTAATTATCCCTATTATGCCAATGAAAATCTAATACTCTGCGTTGACAGCTCCAGCCCACATGGTCAACCTTCCCCCGTGTTAGAGCCAACGAGCACTGAAAAGGCATGGTTTACACTCTATAATTTAGGAAAATCCATTCTTTCCAACTTGAGGCATTGTTGGCATACCAAAAGGCATGTTCAAAACCACAAAGACTTAAAAATAGTATTAATTTCTACTAGAACAGCTACCATGTATTATTCAATAGGGACAGAGATAGCTAGAGGGTCATGTTCTGTTGCTGTCATTTTATTAATATAAGGCTTTAAACTAATTTTTTTAGATATGAAAATAACCTTTAAAAAAATCATTTACACAGCTCTACCTTCCTCATTTTATTTGAAGAAATTTAAGTACCAGAGAGGTCATGAGTTTCCTAAGATCCAAAAATAATCAGCAATAGAGTCAACACTAAAAATTTTAATTCTTTTTTAAAAAAAGATTTATTTATTTTTATTGCAAAGTCAGATATATGGAGGAGAGACAGAGAGGAAGATCTTCCGTCTAATCGTTCACTCCCCAAGTGACCACAACGGCCAGAGCTGCTCCAATCCGAAGCTAGGAGACAGGAACCCAGAGCCTCTTGTGGGTCTCCCATGTGGCTACAGGGTCCCAAGGCTTTGGGCCATCCTGGACTGCTTTCCAGGGCACAACAGGGAGCTGGTTGGAAAGCAGATCGCTGGGATTAGAACTGACGTCCATGTGAGATCCTGATGCGTTCAAGGCAAGCACTTTAGCCACTAGGCTACCATGTCTAGCTCTAGAAATTTTAATTTTTCGACTCTCATTGTTATACAAAATCCTGCTATTGCCTTGACATTTTTCATAAACTAAGTAAAATATAATTAATTTGTCTTAACCAACTGAATCATTCATTGGGCAGGAGACTAGACAGCTATAAAGACAATGTGTCAAAACCAATTGCAGAACCATAACATTTTTTAAAATCTTTTGTAATGCAAATGTGAGTTAACTGTTCCGTAATGCACTCAAAGACCAGAACTCAAGCCAAAATCTTATTTTGCTCCAAACACAAAATTCCAGATTTTAATGAACTGAAATGTCTTGGTTAAGAAAAGAATATTGCTCAATTCTTTAAATACATTTGCTTTATAAAGCTGCCCTTTCAATGGAAGCTAGACTAAGCCACATATTGACATAACTTATGTAAACAAGAAAAGTTAATTTAAAAGGATTTGCAACAGTAAATCATATTTAAAATGTAATATTCCTTATCAAAACTTAGACAGCCTTTAATAGTCTATTAACTTGAGCAGTCACAATGAATCAAAGGCTTGGTCAATGCACTTGATTTTCAACGGGTTATACTATTATTTTTCAATGCTGGGCAAGAAAATAACAAGCAGAATTTTACATATATTCCAAAGACAACAGTTCAAATTCAGTTGCCTGTCTTATTACAAAACCAGATGTCTATTCACTGATTTGTAATGTATATATACTTAAGTTAAAAATAGTATGATTATGTTTGAAAGTAGCAGAGAAAACTTTAGCTTTAATTATATTTAAATTTTAGTGACTGATAGAAGAGTGACCTTTGTCCTTTTTTACTACCAGCTGAAGTACTAATTTTCTGGCACATTACATTATAACGTATTTTCTTTTTTTACCTTTGGTCCAATCTCTGAATTCCTACTAAACAGAACTCATCTGTATAGGATTAACATTTGCATCTTCATCTTCTAATAAACTATCTGGCAACTTCAATCAAGGGTTTTTTAATGTACAGTTATAAAACAGTCACTATCTTAACTATTTCAAGATAAGATATTGTAGATCAGGTATCTTACAAACTTCGAAAAATTATTTGTCATAGTTGTAGAAGCAGGAAACCCAAGACCAGTGTGTCTGCATGGCAAGATTCAAACGAGATCTTTGCTGCGCTGCGGACTGCCAACTTCTTGTTAAGGTCTTAACACGACAGAGGAAGGCTAGAGAGCTCTCGCTGGTCCCTTTCATAAGGGCAGTAATCCAATTTGTAAGGGCCGCACCCACGTAATTACATAGCCTGCCAAAGCTTCACTTCTAATAGACTCAGCTCTTAAAACCATAATAGGCAGATAATTTAGTTTGATGATACACCTGTATTTTCAACCTCCACTGTAAAAATATGGCTTTTCTAACTGGCCTGTTTTCTTTTAGTTTGAGTGATAACACTTATAATATGGAAATTTCTTTAAATCAAACATCTGTAATAGAGTTTTATGAAACAATTCTAATATTTAACAAATAAATTTTGCCTAATAGTCCTACTGTAATTAGCAAAATGCACTTTAAAATGTTTTCTGTATTCTTAATTTCTCTTGATTGTGGCTTCCCTGAGCTACTTCCTGATGCCCATCCAAGTGTGGGTAACAGTTTGTGTGATAATAAACCAGCTGATGGAAATTTTAGGACACAGCATCTAATTCTTCTGAAATAATCTTTTACATAATCATCTTTCTAAAATGTAATTGATTTGAGGAAATCACAGAGATTTTGTTTTTATTGCACTAATTAAGTGTTTGGAGCAAAACGTTCATGTAGGGTACACGTAAAGCATAACTTTCTTCTTTTATGATGAAACTTAAGTGGGAATCTGATCAACTGACTACTTTTAACTTGATCTATTCAAATAGATTTTGATTTATAGTTTTCTCCATTGATTCTCCTCTCAGGTTTGCAGGCTTTCCAAGGGCAGTAGTGGTGATAGGGAGCCGAAGCTGAGTTTATCTTGGGTCATAGTCTGTTCGTGCTAGATCAACTGAGGTGCACATCATCTCTTTTGACCCCAAGTGGCCATTATCACACCATGTGAGCATTTACCTTAGCCTTCTGTGTTGGCGTGTAGTCATTTGCCTCCTCAGTTGGACAATCAGGTCATAGCCTTCTGCTCTTAACCAAACAGAAATAACATAATGAATGGTCAGGAAACTCAGAGAGGCTTTCCTCCCCCTGTCGTAAACATTTCAGGTAGAAATGTCTATTCTGTTGGCAGCTCTCAGTGCCATTCATGTGAGTTACT